TATCATTAAATATATGTAATAAAAATGGTAACATGGCTCCCACCTTATACAAATTAAATCCAAAAATAAGTGATGCTATCCCAGTTAGTGCTAATGATAGAGTAATTTATTTCTTAATTACAAAAAATTATTATTTTGAAAAGCCAGAATATATAAATATTGAAAAAGCTTTAATTAACTTAAAAATTGAAATTATAAAACATCATGATACACATATAACAATGCCTAGAATAGCATCAGGCCTAGATAAAAAAGAATGGACCATAATTAAACAAATTTTCGACTTTTATAAACACTAGTATTAATATTTTAGTATGTCATCAAAATAATTAATATATTACTAATGATTGGAAAATTGAAGAACATAATTCAGTTATAAACACGATTAAACAATTTTATAATAAAAATATGTCAGACAAAGTCAACAATTATAATCAGAATAATGATAACTTAAAAATTTTTAAATCTTATAAAAAGGGAAAAAACATTTATAGTGAAAATAATTGCGGTTTTTTTTCAATTATAAACGCACTTAATGATGGGGAAGATAAAAAAGAAACTTCTGTTTTTGAAATATTAGAGCTTTTAGAATTATCTATTCTACCTAATTATTGGTTTAGTGATGATGATTTAGCAGCTATTGCGAATCATTACAATTATGACACATATATTTTTAATGATACAGATAAAACTGGAATCATTTATGGTTTAGGTAATCCCCCACCTATAGTCTTATACAATGTAGATAAAAACACACACTGGATTCCAGGTACACAATCAAATAAACCATCAAGAGATATTCCTTTAAAAACAATAAATTTTACAGAATTTGAATCGATAAATAATTTAAAAGAATCTATTTTTAAACACATAAACAAAAATGAATTCAATAATATTATCATTAATAATTTAATCATTAATGAAAATAGTTTATCAATTAAAACAAAAGATTATGAAAATACTAATAACACAATTTTAAACACATACACATAAAAGTAAGCCAACCATTGTAGATATGGAAGGCAACACAATCAATATTTCACCTCACTTAACAAATTCTGAACACAAACAGGTTACTGATTTGATTACACAGTATACACATTTATTTTGCGATGATAATAATTTAATTAAACCTGCGAATGTAGTTACATGTGAAATCAAAATGAAACCAAATTTTACTGATCCTAAATTCAATGCTTCTCATAGAATCTCACCAGAACAGAGAGAGAAATTAAAAAAACATATAGATAAACTTTTAGAGGCAGATATAATAAAGCCAGTTACATCTAATTTTGGAGCATCTGCTTTTTTGGTTAGTAAAAAAGACAAAAATTCTTATAGATTAGTAGTGTCATACAAAGAGCTTAATGAAATAGTTTAATCAGATTTATATCCGATACCAAGAACTAGATACTTGTTAAGAGCATTAGAAAATTCAAAATATTTGAATTTATTAGATTTTAACAGTGAATTTTTTCAAATACCTGTCAGACTTAAAGATTAATATAAACTGGCCTTTACAACTACACTTGGTCTTTACACTTTTACTAGATTACCTCAAGGTTTTAAAAATAGTAGTGTTATTTTTCAAAGAAAATTAAATGAAATCTTTTCACCTTTATTATACAAATCTTTAATTATTTATCTTGACGACTTAACTTCTTTTGGAAAAACTTTTAACAAAAACTTAGAAATTTTAAAACAAGCTTTTGAAATAATAAATCATTATAATTTTTCTTTAACAACAAGTAATTGTACATTTTTTTATGACGAAATAGAACTACTAGGTCATAAGATCAATAAAAAGGGTATACAAGCATTAGATAAAAATACTAAAGCAATCACTGAGTTTAAAGTTCCCCAAACTCAAAAAGATGTGAGATCATTTATAGGAATGTGCTCATATTATAGAAAACATGTAAAAGATTTTGCACAAATAGCAAACCCCTCACTGATTTAATAAAAGAAGACACAAAAAAGATTGTATGGAATTCTGAACACAATGATTCATTCAAGATACTTAAACAAATTTTAACTATACATCCGTTCTTAAACATTTTGATGATGATAAAAAAATATTTTTAACAATAGATGCCTCTATTACTGGTTTAGGTGCATGTTTAGAACAAGAACATGACAATGTTTTATTTCCTGTAAATTATGCCTGTAGAAAATTATTATCTAATGAAAAAACTTATTCTTCAACTACATTAGAGTTATTAGGTTGAGAAGAAAATAAAGTATCAGACGCTTTATCCAGATATTCAATTAATAATATTTCAATTAATAAAATATTAGATACTCCAAATTTAAATTTAATTGAACTTAAAGAATGACAACTTAATGACGAATTTTGTAAAAATATTGTACTTAAAAATATATTATGCTTTACATAATAAAGACATCCCAAAAAAATTCAAAAGAAAATCAAGGCAATTTATTATTAAAAATGACTTATTATATTACAAAAAATTTACACACACAATAATTATTGAAACAATTTTAGTAATCCCCTCAAATTGAACATCTAATATTTTTAAATCTTATCATGAAAGTCCTATAGGAGGTCACACTGGAATCCCTCGAACAATACATAAAATACAGCAAAATTTTATTGTCAAAATCTTGTTAAAGATGTTACTAATTTCATTAAGTTATGTCCCAATTGCCAAGTAAATAAAAAATTAAGTGGTAAACCTATTGCTTATTTATAACCAATACCAGTCACAAGCAAGCCCTTATCAAGGCTTGTTTTTTACTATCTTGGACCTTTACCGTCTAATAATAAAAAGAAATATATTTTAGTGGCTACTTGTCATAACACAAAATATGTATTTACTAAAGCTGTTGAATCAGATACAGCCGAATTAACTGAAAAATTTATTATTCAAATAATTTCTCAATGGGGATGCTTTCAACAATTTACATCAGACAGGGGCATACATTTTAGAAATAACCTAGTTAATCGAGTTTGTGAAAACTTGGGCATAAAAAAAGGTTTTTCTACAGCATACTTCCTCCAAACACAAGGTTTAGTAGAAAAAATAAATGGGGTGATTTTTGCATCATTAAGAAATTATATTGAAAATCATGAACAATCTAGATGGTCTTATTATTTACAATACATTACATTAGCTTGTAATTCAACCCCTAAAACAAGTACAGGTTATAGTCCTTTTTATTTAATGCATGGTTTCGAACCTTATTTCCCTATTAATAATAAAAGGATCCAGGAGATTTAGTCTTGGTCAAATTTCCTTTTGCTCAAGTGGGTAAGTCACCCAAACTAGCACCGAAATATCGCGGTCTTTTTAAAATTATAAAGAAAATCAATGAATTTAATTATATCATTGAATTAATGCTAAATAATCAAAAGATCGTAGACACAGTGCATGTAAGACGTCTAAAACCTTATGTTATAAGAAATTATGAATAAACTCTCATTATCTTATGATTTATCATTATTAATATTTATCATTAAATATTCATCATAATACATAATTATCTTCATGGCATAATTCTCAAAGTTCACATTTTTTTTTTTTTTAATATGATTATTAAAACAAATAAAACCAATGCTGTTATAGTATGGATCCTTCTTGTCATAGACTATATATTCCGTAGTATAATTTTAAGGGAAAAACAAAAAGTATGCGAATTAACCTCATTATGCGCAGACTGTGAAACCAGAGAAATTCGAAAAACAATCTTTCTAAATATTAAAAGATGTAATTCTGCGAAAATATATAATTCTCGTTATTATAATAAATAACAAACATTCATAAAATATATTATTCATTTTTATAAACTTTACAACATCTTTCATATTATTATATGCAAATTATGTATTCATACCATATCTAATAAACTTTTTGTATAAAAAAAAAAAATGATTTTTTTTTCTTATTCATTCTACTTTAATTATTCTTTAATTTCACAAAACTTTTATGTACAATATAATCATTTAATAATCTTTTAAATATTAAAAACAATACTCTTATAATTTATTCTCTCAATGTTATTATAATATGGACTCATCTTGTTCCGGGATTTGTATCATAAAAAACACCTTCTGGAAGAATGTTAAAAGAGTATGTAAAAGACAGCAATTATGCCCTGACTGCTCGTTTAAAGAAAAAAACCAAAAGATTGTTGTACATAATTATCACCTTTTAAAATTTAATTATATATGGACTCATGACGTAATCTAATATTTTAAATCGAAACCTATATCATTTCTGGCCACAGAAATAGCTAGCTATGCCGGATGCAATGTAGAGTTCGATATGAGGAGATGGTACAGCGCTATATAAACTATTTTCTTATGTTTTAAACAGGTTTTTTCATAAACATGTTTTTTGAAGACTCTGATCACTATTAAGTTTAATCAGAAAGGCATTTACAGTCGTATAGAATTGTTTATGAAAATGATGTTATTGACTGGCAGATTTTAATCTATTTTAGTTTCACTACCCCGAAGTCTCATCTTGTGCTGATTATTTTAATATTAGTTCACAAAGAAAACTGTTAAATAAATTTTATGAAGTATACATGAACTTATAATCAAGAAAATTATCTATCTAAGTAAATGACTAATCATTCGGAAGTTATTAGCATTTTTAAATATAGACTACAGATGAAAATTACAGAACATATGATATTTAAGAAATTTAATGAGTCATAGTTAAAGCACCGGTCTGTAAAGTTGATAAAAAGTTATAAATTTGTGTCCCCATTACGTGCAAAAAATTTCATCATTCGTCAAATTAATACTTCATTTTTTTTTAATCGAAGCTTGAAATTAAATTTAGTGACAGCTAGTGAGATCTGTCAGTTATTTATTTTATCATGTTGTTCGATTTGGCGCTATCTATGTAATGTTTTACTAATTTTCTTAAAAAAAAAGTTCAGGGTCACGAGGTAGCGGTGATAACGTTGCGGCGTGGCCGTAATAGTACTGCGGTAGATCAATAATTTCGCACCCCTCTGTTCGTGATGTTGTCAGTGTGTGCTACCAACTGGCCGAGACGCGCTGTCTTCCGCCTACGCACCTCACTGAACGCAACCAACGACATCCACCGCACCCCAAGATTTTCGACGCAACATTTGTATAACTCTGCGCGTTATACATCGATCTGTGCACGTGCGTGGGCGCCACATTTTTCATCACTCAATAAGTAATGAATTGGTGAATAAGAAGAATTATATCAAAAAATAATACACTTGAAACGTTCAACTTATAACGCATTTATGAATTAGCAGTGACGGTAGTGGATAATCATCATCGTTATTTACTCACTCCATATTCTCATCGCTTGTGTCTAACCAGACGGGATAGTACTAGTGATAATAAATGGAAGCATTTATAGCTTTAGCTTTAAAGTATGGTATTACATCTCGTGTTGGACATGAAACAAGTGACCATAGACAGCCTGTCTAAATGATCACATGTCACACAAATTTCGCGGTGGCAATAAATACAGCTCAACGCAAAGGTGGCCGCAGCGTGACATTACGGCGCCTGACCATTGGAGGTTTTTCAGTAGTTCGTGACAATTATGGTTGTGGCCGCAACCATGGCCAGCATGGATGACCACGAGCGGAAGATAGTCGTCGAGTTTTGTCAACTTCTTGAGCAGTCAAAACAGCTATTCAACGGACTCCGGTGAGTCACCGTTTTCATCTTTCTGTATACCTTACACGATCGATGCGCAATAGAAATATTAAGATTAAACACGATTTGCATTTATTTTGTAATTACTATGGCATTTTTAATTGAAAATAGATAATCTGATTATAAAATTGCCTTATATATGTACAGAGTGATCGATTTGTCACAAACCACTTGATTACTCTCAAAATAAATACAATATTTGAAAAAAAAATTGGTTGCTTTAAGTTACGTGTATTTCTTGATTTTTCATCTATAAATCATCTTTTAGAATCATCCCTTATGACTTATAAGGATGTCAAATTTATTTATTTTAGTGACAACATACATATTTAACTAGCTTATAAAATAGAAAATAATCTAATTAAGAAAATGACTGGTCGATAACAACTTTTGGATTAGTACTTCCGGAGTTATTCTCACTTTTCTATCAATGCGGCTCGCCGAGAAATGACTAGTGATAAAAATAGCAGTACTTATTCCTCACCTGCAGTCATTAATTTAAATTGTTAATAACTTATATCATTGATATAATTTAATTTGTATTATATAATCATGATATATTAGTAAAATACCAAGAAATCTATGATGCACTAAAAAGAGATGACATTAAAAATAATATAAAAAAAACTATTGTATAATTACAGTATAGTTTTCTTTTTATTCTTTGATTTATTTTTTATGAAAATGGCCAAAAAATGTTTTATTTATTTAAATAGACTATAATACAAATCGAATTTATTATGAGAAAAATTATTTCTTAAGGTAGATTTTAGGGGTAACATTTGAGATTTAAATAAGAACCTATAATTATGTTTAACTATTAATATTGAAAATTAACTAAATACTATTTTTACTGTTTATCAGTAATCATTTTTGAAGTAAATTGTTATTTAACGAAATAATCAAGACTAGTTATCATAATAACTATATAATAAAATTACTGATAATATAATGCACTTTTAGCAAAATACAGGCTGATATTTAAGTGTTTTAATAACTTGTATGAATGTTTTTATTTTGTTGATGAAATAATAAAACTTTGGTTAATGGCGTAATTAGGAGTTTGTCTTGGGGGGTTTTCAATAGAAAATTTCTCACTTCTTCTGCAAACGAAAAATATTGTATCTTCGTTATATAATAATTTTTATCATGGAAATATTGGTGTTATATCTCTTATGATTACGCCAATGCTTTGATTTCATTGTATATTCATAAACTGAAATACTTTTGTTTATACTCAGAAACTAAACTGAAACGACAAAAATTTTTAAAACAGTTTTAATTTTAATTTTCAGAGATCTTCCTCAATGCGGTCAAAAAATTTGGCAAGGATATTTTGGTAAAACTTTTGACGTTTATACAAAACTATGGAAGTTTCAACAACAACACAGGTACTGTATTTATTAAAAAATAAAATTTAATAGTTTTGTATTTAAGATGTATATAGAGGGATTCTACAACTATTCTGCGTTTCAATTTTGTTGGTAAAAATAAAATAGTAATTTTTAATAATATCTAAATAGCTGTTTAGTCTTGTATATCAAATTTCAAACTTTTAGAATGTTAAATTGCCTTTTTATTTATTTAATTATTGTATAAAAATAACACTTATTGATCTAATTATTTAAACTTAGTCACAAAATATTTTTGAGTAACATTATACATGTAAATGTTATTGTTGTAATTTAAAAATATCATTGAACAATAAACAATAATTTTATAGTTTATACATGATAAAGAACAATAGGATTTTAAAAAACATAAATAATATATAAATATTTAATTTTAAAATTCTTCGTCAATTCCTACTTTTCTACAATATTTATTAAATTAATTATTGATTAGTGTACTAATACCTAATGTAAAGAAAACTATCATTGAATTTACATACGCTTTTATAACTATCCTAAACTTCAAATTTCTGAATCTATTCTTTATCTATAATTCCAGAAAATCCAATCAAACCGAGTCGTTTTAAAAGATCTCAATGTTGAGACGTAATAGAGCAAAAAAAAAAAAAAAATTAAGTCAGTAATAATACATCTTATGAGTAGGTAATTTATCTTCAATTTATTCTTTTTTACACTAATTTAATTGAAATTTCATTACAAGTGTTAAATTTATAAAAATGAAATAACTTAATTTTTCTTACAAAAAATAGAGACACTCTCAGCTGCCCTAGTTTTGTCGTTTAATGATTAATATTTTATAAAATATTGGTTTAAATGTAGTGATTGAATAGTTATTTTTTCGTAAAATCATTTAATAATTTTGAACTTACTTAGTTTACTACACACGCTGTCCATTAAAAAAACCAAGAAGTAACATTTTTAGCAGACAAATAAATATATACTTAAGAAAATATTCCTTAAGTCGTAATTGAACAATCACATTGCAAATAAGGAATTCGAGGTAGGGCCATATTCAGGTAAACTTTATGGGGTGGAGCGAATTTATAATAGTTTTATCGGCTATTTTGGAAAAAATTGGCGCAAATAAGTGTTGAACTGGGGTGTTCTATTTCCAAAAACAAAAAATAACTTATTCTCGCTACGTCCGAAATAATGTGCCTAATCTTATTTTTACCTTATTTAAACCTCAAGTTATTGATGATTCTTTGCCTTTTCTAATGTCAAGCTATTTATTCATATTTCGTAATTCATAATATAAATATTAATATATGTATTTGTACAGAACCAGGGCTTACTAGGGCAAAAACCAGAAATGATAAAATTAAGACTTACTTACCACCAGATTGTATAGTCAAAACTAACGAATGTGGTTAATCAATGAAATATTGTTGTAATGTCTCAGTATATTCGAAATAACGATTTTATTTGCTACAATAGAAGTATAATGTAAATTGACTGCAAAATAAGAAAAAAAATGATAAAAAAAAAATATTGACACTAAATTTCATAAGTAAACCTAGAATAAATAAATAAATAAGTACTAGAACCTGGGATTCTAAAATCTAGCACCTCTAGTAATTAAGCTAAAGTATTTATAATAAACAATAATTATGTTTATAGGTTAAAGGTTGCGAATTTAACCTCACCTAAATTAAATATTTAGACAAAATCTATAATCTCTTAGAAAATATATTTTATGAAATGTTTACGGATGTATCCACATTTTCAGTTATGAGGTGAAGTTTCGGACTCGTTGCAGAGTCCATCTTCAGAGCGATAGTTACAGGCTTGTGGTTGTAACTATACTGTCGGCTTAGCTTGTTTTTGGTATGTTTTTATAATAACTGATAACTGATAACGTCTATATTGTTTATCTGTAGTTTTTGTCGTATTGTTGTTGACAACGGTCAGTTTGTTTTTTACTTCCGGCTTTTGTTTTTGTTGTTGTTTACGGCATTCTTGGCATTTAGCTCTTTCTTTTCTACACCGGAAATTTATGTTAATTGTAATTTTTTCACACATTAAGTTATTTTCTTTGATGCGTGTTGTTTTTCTTTTTGCTTGGTGTTTGATAAATAACCAAGTTTTGCTAATAGTCCACCCATCTTCTCTGTTGTAATTTTCTGAATACTTTTCGATTTCAATTGCTTCATTGTACATCCGTTTGCCAAAATGAGCTTCGTTGTTCAGTATTTTGATTTTGTTAAATTGAATCTCGTGTCCACTGTTTTTGGCGTGTTTATCTACTGCGGGTTTTTCTGCCCTTTAGTAATCTACATCTTTTTTGTGTTTTTTTATTCTTGTTGCAATAACTCTTCCTGTTTGTTTAATGTATGATACATTTAAACAATACGACAATCAACAAAAGTTTCAACACATTGAAACATATTTTAATTTAGATATTTTTTAATACGGAGATTTTCATAAAATATTCAAATTATTTTTACTCATCAATTACGTTCATGTATGAACAGGAAGTAAAAAAAAATTTGCAATTTTTGGCAAATATCACATATACGCACAAGTATATTCGAAATAATTCAAACCACAGATGGAAAAACAAAATGACAGCTGTTAATTGTATTGTTATGAGATTAATTAATATTCCGATTAATAAAATGGATTTTGTTGAAGAACTAGTGATTTTAAAAGAAATAACTAGTTTTAATAAGTATGGCGAAAATGTAATTTCAAATCTTTAATAACTTCTAAGAGTAATAATTAAAAGTGTTATCCAGTTGTTTTTAAAACAATTGACATAATCGAATGTTTTTTGATAGTATTTAGTTATTGTACAATTGAAACCGAACCTGAACATCGAATTAACTGTCGAACTGTTATCATAAATTATATGATTACTAACCATTCATCGTATTATGGGGGTTAAAGCAACTAAATGAAACAATAAATATATTATTTAATGAAAATTTTTATGACTGAATACGGTAGTTTTTATTCGAATGAAAATTACTATTTAGCGCTTATGATAGTAACATTTTCGAAGTCCAATTTATCGGAACGTATAATTATTTACTTATAATTATGATCAAAGAATGTATTATTTATTAAAAATAGATTTCGAACTTTTTAGTCTCTAAAGAGTAATATTAGATAAAAGAAAAAACAATTCTTTAATCGGTGAATAAAAAGAATTTATGATAATAAATAATACTTTATGAACTTAAAATTATATGAAATTTTGTTTTAATTTTTACAGACAAGTGTTGGACACAAAATATGGTTTGAAACGATGGCAAATAGGAGAAATAGCTTCTAAAATAGGCCAATTATACTACCACTATTAGTAAGTTTTTAATAATATGTGTTTATATTAGAATCTCTATTAAGACAAGTACTCTTTTCACGTCTGCTGGTAGAAACAAACACCAGCATTGATCACACCATGGAAGTGATGATAGGTCGTTCATTGTTTGACGACGATTTGTATAATTGTCGGTCTTCTAAGTGTTTCGGCTAATCCACTGTAGGTAACAAGTTCCATTAGATTGTGTGTATCGAAAAAACATGCGTTATCCCGCGTTTCCATCGTATAGTCTAGCGATTCCGTCATAAACCATAGTTGGGTTGCAATAGCATCCAATTTTCTTAACAGTAAAGATCGAGATCAAACCACTATGATAATTGTACATGTAACACAATCATTTTCGTTTTATTCATTGCTGTGTGATCTAACCATTAAGACGCAAGTCTCCATAAAACTTATTACCTATCTTAGGGTTTTTTGTAAAAAGTCGCGGTGTGATTCGTATAGGTAAACGTTTGTCAAACTCAACTTTAATGAGATCAGAAACATTATTTTGTTAGCGAAATCGTTTCATCTTATTAAAGAAATACAAAAAAAAGTATTGTGGTGCATATTGTTTGCTGACAATATAGTGTTAATAAGTAAAATAAGGAGGAAATTAATCAAAGGCTAGAGTAGTGGAGATAAGCTTTTAAAGGAAAAGAATGAGTCTTTTGTGTTATAGAATAAAAGAATTCCAATGAGATTAAAAGGTAACTTTTATACGATTGTAGTGAGACCAGCTATGATACATAGATCAGAGTGTTAGACGATTAGCATGAGAATAGAGAAGAGATTAAAATTCTTATATGGAAGAGTGAAGTGATTAGAAATTATAGCATAAGGAACGAACATATAAGGAGTGTAGGTGTAGCGTCAATCGTGGATAAGATGAGAGAAAATAGACTTAGTTGGTTTTGGTCATGTTTTGAAGAGCGAGGAATCGGAAGCTATAAGAACAATTATGGAAAATAAATGTTGAAGGAAGATGAGATAGATGAATATTAATAAAGAGATGGCGAGATGTTATTGATTACGATATGATGATGGTTGATGTGTACGTAGATGATGTAGGAGATCGTGTTGGGATTGTCGTTTAGGATAAGGGTAATCAACCCCGAGTATTTGAAATAAAGAAGAGGAAAAATAAGAAGAAATCATCTCACCTATCTCTGGTCATTGTTCGTTATGTGCACCAAGTCACTGGTCAAACTAATCTAAGAATGTTGTCTTCTCTAATTTAAGCTACAATTTTGAGTTCGGTCTCTTCATAAGTTGATCCGTCATAAGACAGGCTAATTCACTTGTTATGTGAATTTAACTGGAGTAAATCTACTACCACTCATTGTAGATTTGCGCTAATCTTGTGTGTTAACATAGACTATGCTGGTTTTATTCCCATGTTAAAAACAACAATTACAGTAATTACAAACCTATAAAGTGTATGTGATAGTTTTTTTTTACTTAGCAGTGAAGGCTGTTCATCTAAAGGTAATGTTGGACTTAAGCACTGACGGTTTTTTGGCAACCTTTAGCCAATTTGTTGAACGCTGAAGATTACTGAAAGAAATATACACAGACTCTAATACAAACTTTGATGTAACAGAGCGGGAATTTTAGTACATGATACAGTTAGTCTAAATATTATTTCAGTTAGATGTTTTTTTACTGGCACTTAAATCATTACGGTTTTACCATTTCGGTAGTTTATGGGAGACTGGTGTGTCATCTACGAAGAATTTGATGATAAAGATTATAGGAGAACGGAACTTGATACTTAAAGAGTTTACAAAAATTGTATGCTGTATCAAAGCTATGTTATATTCATGACCTATGATTCCCAAATCCACCAACCTAAAGAGTAGGATTCTTAAACGCTTGGATATTTACCAATGGTCTGACATTACTAAGCACCCATTACATGTACGTTGTGTACATAGTACTATGATACTTTGGTGAATCGTTGGAAATCAGTAAACCAATGCACTCAGACTTTCTAGCGTGTAACTATAAATGATGTAAACCTGGAATCAATAGATGAGGGACGCACTGAACATTGAAATACATGATATGGTTTATAATGGATTCTCAGTCACCTCTCTTAAAATGATCAATGGCATAGGCTATTGGAGTGATTAAAGGTGATGGTGATGCATTTTAGAACAGCCACAAGAAACCTTAACCCGACCTATGATCAAGTTGGTTAAACTACCCATGGCTTAAGTAACTTTAGATCTTATTCATGTTCAAATTCAATTTTCGCCACAAAGTTATGATATCGTTGTTATAGTTATATTTGGTCATACTTTTCTTACCTATATTTTTAATTTTTATTTAGTTATTTGCAAGTTTTTATCGTATACCGTTAGCAGATTATTGACGGCATCACACTTCTACTAGCGTTGTCTCCCAATTTGATTAAACTGGTAAATAAAAATTTTTAGGGAGTCTTTTGGGGAGATTAACTTGACAGGCTAGTGAGTGATAATTATATGTTATTGTCAAAAAAAGTCTTATTTGTTATGTATACTTTATTTGTTGTGTATTTTGTTCAGGTTTATATAATTATTATTTTCTATTTATGTATTATTCTATAAATGTTAGGTGATGCTTTATATGATTGTTTATTTTAAGTCTATTATTTGTTGCTTCAATATTGTACCCTCTCAAATATCATCCACTCTAGTCCAACTACATGATTAGCTTTTGTGGATGACAAATATCATTGTAAGACCTATTTCTCGCAAAAAGGTTACAAATGTAACTGCTTACATTTTAGACGGCAGAAACAAAAACTGGTGTCGATATTATCACGGAAGTGGTGATAAGCCTTTCAATGATAGACAGCGGTTTATATCTTCATCGGTCTTTTGGGTGTACCTGTAAAATACGTGTATCAAAAAATACTCATTCTGGGTTGTTTTGTACCCAGTAAACCTCAAATTTTTATATTGTCTCCAGTTTTGATGGTTCAATCCATGAAAATGTACGCGCCATTTCGATACTTTATTAGAGTATGTTATGGTGGTCCAGCCATAGGCACAAATATCTATGGCCAGCATGGCCATAGATATTTTGATATACGCCCCGTGAAGCATCATTGTTTATGTTTTTCATACTTTATCCAGCCATTGGTGTATTTTTGTAAAGTGTGTACACCTTTGCTCTGCATCAATTGTGAGTAAATGTCAATGTTTATTCAACTACTACACGAAACTTAGAAAGTCATTTTGATTGTAATACCCAATGTTACAATTCTACCATGTTCAACTTGCTTTGTGTCACACAAGTTTAAACAATAAAATCTGTAGAATTCACTAGGCACCTTTTTAATCAATCAAATTTAATTAATCCAGTTGAATTGATAAAAAAAATTATAATCATTTTTTATTTTTAGCCTTAGAACAAGTGATACGAACAACTTAAATGAAGCGTACTCATTTTACTCAGCAATAAGAGGAAGACAATATTATTCTCGAGTATCTCAAGAAGATAGGTAATTTCAAACTTATTGCTTTGTGATTTTTTTACTAATACATTTTTGATCTTTTAGATCTGATTTAATGGTAAAAAAATTAAGGTACTATGCGAGGTTCATTGTTGTGTGTTTGTTGCTAAGACGAGTAGGTGCTATTCGAGAACTGTTAGCTGTAAGTATTGTATGAGTTCATTCGTTTTATATCTGTGTAATCGATATTAAAAATTAGGTTTTTTTTTTTTTTGTTAAGCTTTGTTATTATTTTATAATTGAGAATTTAAAATAAAATATATACAGGTTATAATAATTATTTATTACTTTAAGCAAAAAATATTTGAAAAATAAGAAATATCTTTGGGCAATGATATATTTATCATTAACACTAAAATCATATCTCGAATAACAATTTTGTATTAATATGGTTCACTTAAAATTGTGAACCTATATAGTTTATATTTATAAGTATAAATGATAGTTGAGTGTGGGTTAAAATAAGATTCTAGTACTGTACAAACAAACAAAAAAAAATATCACAGTGGGGTAACGTCATTAAAGGAATGTAGCATAATTGGCATAAGTATAGATGATATCTGACAGTGATTAACATCGCTATCATAAAAAACGCTTAATTTGCAAATTTGTTAAATTTTACAATATTTATATTTTAATATTTCACTCAAATATTAAGTTTTTGATAAATTATTTGCTTTATTAAAATTAATTAATTAATTTTCCTCTACATTTTGTAAAGACTTGATTTTAGTATTAAGCAAATTTAGCTAAACATAATACATATTTTTGGTGAGTTCACTTTTATCTTCATTTATGAAGGTAAAGATTTACAAAACTTGCTTTTGTTATTAATTTGCTTGGATTGTTATACAAAAATATTTCAGATAAACTCCCATTTCTTCTTTAATTTATAATGGTTTATATGTAGATATAAAAGTCATTATATAAAAATACAAAAATTAGTTTTTTCATGACATTTACTTGGTATAGTATTGAAAATTTTTTGCCATCATTAAATAATCATGAAATTGTATAAATAGCTATTGCCTTAACTGGAACTGGTAATCTGTATTATATATTATTTTTTAAATAAAACAATAAATAGTGTATTTTATTCCAACTTATTCTGATATAAATTTTTTTAATTTTTATTATTATAATTTTTTTTTTTTTAGTTCAGATCCTCGTTATACTACCATATACTCATTATTTTGTACTTTTAGTTCAATGCGAAGCTCAGAAGGTATTACTATGACATGTTTTTTTTTGTCTGTCACTACTTTTTCTCAGCTCTCACTGTACCGTATTGTTCTCAACAATACGTCAAAAGATCACAAATTGTAGCAATTGTGTTAAAATTTACTATTTCATATTTTATTTTTTCAACTTTAAATTACTATAACTTTTTGAAAAATATATGAATCAATAAAAAATATAATATATATTTAGTAAATAAATGATATATATACCTTTCATCTGACATGCTTTGTCTTTAAATCTGACCACTTTCTTTTATACATGGGGGGTTTAAATTTCTAAAAATACGAGTAAAAAGTAGAACTTTTTCAACTTAACTTTTGACGATGTTCCGGGAATACTCCAAGCTTTAAATATATTTCAAATTAAAGCTTATGATAAATACTATAAGTTTAAAAAAAATATTTTCTTGACACCTTTTCGTCTATTGGAAAATTGCCATCTAATTTATAAAAAAATGTAATTTTAACTGTTTAACATGAAATATTTTAATACTAAAACTACCAAACTTTTTGAAAAATTAACAGTTTAAATTAATTTCTTTTTATATTGAAATCTTAAATATTTTTTTTTCATTTGATATGAATTTTTTGAAAATCTGACTTTTATTTAATCTTAAATTAAAGCTTTTGCAATATACTATACTATGAAAAAAAAAATTCGTGATAAGGAACATGGTTATCATATTCAAAAATGTGTTATTTTTGTGTTAAAATTCTTGGTATTGTATTTTTATTTATTTTAATATACCTTATAATAGCGTATACTGATTTTTATAAATATTACATAAAACTAATTGACATAGAATATAAAGTTAAACATATTTCAATTTTATTTTTCTTTTGAATCGGAAAAATTAATTTTAACCTTTTAATTAGCTTAAATTTCCAATTTTATCAAAAAACGAATGAGACGAACGCTTGCCTATTCAGTAAAAATCATTGCCCTTGGCAATGATTTTTTTGCAAATTTTGCTTAATTCTTGTTGAGTTAGAATTTTTCTTTTGAATAATTCATTAATTTCTTAAAATTAAACACTATCTACAAATTTGCAATGAAGCGATTCTTATGATAGTGATTTTAATCACTGTCAGATATCATCTATACTAGCCCCAACTATGCCACGACCCTACTGGGCTGGGGTTTTTTTTATAGTTACCATAGATATTTATCTATCATATGGTAATTTTATTGTGAAAACCAGATTTTTTACTTACCAACAGAGAGGGGCTTCAAAATGACAACTTTTATAATTTTGTTTTTTCTTGAAGAATTAGTTTAGAGCTAGATAAGAAAAAGTCAAAGTATAACAAATTATTTTGGACATTCGTATATTTCAACTGGAATACTCAACTAACAATCCATAGGGAAGTGGGTACATTTTTATTTTGTACGTGTTGTAAATCAATTTATAAATATTTATTATGGTCACCAAAGCAAAATTTTGAACTATTTATTTGATTACCTTAATTAAACAGGACAGGAAATTCATTTTTTATTTTATCATATAAAATATTTTTTCTTTAGAAAACATTAGAAATTTCGCCAAACTACATCAAATTACACTTTATTTACTTAAGTAAAAAGTGGAAAATTTTTTTTTAATTTAGCATCAAATTTTAACTATAATAATCATTAGTTTTCAATTCAAGAATTAACTAAATTTGAAACTTTAATGTTTTGATTGGTAGATTTCTCAAGCTTAAAACTAATCAGATGTAACTAAAAGATAACACATTTTAAAAAAATGGAGGGGAAGTTAAACTTTTTTAATAAATATAACGAGTAACTGTAATTTCATTAATTTTTAAAGAGTGTTTTACCCAATATTAAGCATAACTTATTCTTATAATTTTCGTCAAATTTTGAAAAATGTTGTAAAAATTATAAAAATTGAAATCCCTGTTTTGATGTTTTTCAATAAATGAGAATTTATTATTTTTGTAGTTATATTAAAATATCAGTGAAAAACTAATTAAATATATAATTATTGTTATTATTTTTAAAGTAAAAATAAATATTTATTATTAAATATTCACTTTTTTAATGTATACATAAAAAAATTTCATTAGAACTGCAAAATACAAATTTTGGCATAATAAAAATATAGATCATTTTTTTTAGGAGCTTGATAAGCAAATAGTTGATTACACAAGTACATACGAACCAGATGATCAACTAGAATGGTCTTTGGTTTTGGAAGAAATCAAAACATTTGTAAAAGCTGACAGTATTGTTAACGTATTACATGCTGATCAAAGCAACGTCACACTTTCTCACAGGTATAAAAAAAAAGTTTATGAGTAATACTTTTAATAATTAGATAACTTGTTTAACAAAAATTTTTAAATTTTTAAACATTTTTCTTTTAAGATATATTTAAAATAATATTAATATATCAAAATTAGACATTAGTGTCACGATTACTGTACTACTAGTTATTTGAGTTTGTAGCAAATAAAATAGATAAATCACTTGTCTCCTATTAGTTAGTCTATTTTTAAACAAGAGTATAATTTTAACTTAAAAAATTATTTAATTTGTTAATAATTAACTAAAACAATCAAATGAAATAAAACGTATTAATAAAACTGAAGTACTATAATTACGTTTCAACTGGCGTAAATGTTTGTTTGCTTAATTTTCAATTATAATATTAGATTTTGTAATAAATCAAAAATTATAATAAAGAAGATATAAAAATGAAGCTGAAAATAGTAAAAAATAGATATTGGATAAAAATTATAAATTGTAAAAAATAAAAAATATTGGGGAAAGGATAAATTTGTATGAAAATGATTAATAACAATGTTAATTACCCTTTAAAATTTTTAATTTTTAATAATTTATATTGTGGTTTATTACACAATATATTGTTTGTGGTTTGAAAGCATAGATCAAATTATACATATCTTATATCCTTTGTCACGTATTAATATTGATATTATTAATATAAATATTTATATATTAACTATATTTTTTTTTCCATTATTCAATTCAGAATTTTACGATTAATTTTCCCTCAAAAATTATTTTAAAAATAAATTATAATTCTTTTTTATAATGTGAATACTTTTAATGTTTTCATGTTTTCTCTTTAATGGTAATATCAAAAATTTTGTTTATTTTAGCCAAGTCACTAATAAAAAAAATATGTACAAATAGCCTTCTATAAATACTAATAAAAGTGATTTAAGAAATGTTGGTAAAATAAAATGTCTCCTAGAGACTTCTCGAATTCACTTATCAGTATTTCGAATCCTTTTCTATGTTCATTTACATCTATTTCATTTTCTATATATTCCTTTTCATATTTAATTTCCTTTATTCCCTCGTATAATTCTTCCATATACATTTCCACCTCTTTACTACCTTTTAATTTTCAAACATAATTTTTCTATGTATATCTTTAACTATGTTACTTGATTTCTTGGGTTTATATTGCAGCTTTTTAATTTTATTATTTACTTTGTTAAAAGTTACTACAAATTTAATTTTATTGCCAAAAACATGGTGTACGGCATTAAAGTGTTTATGTAGTCATTTAATTTATTCATAATTCTTATTGTAACTTGTTTACAAATCAATGATTTACTTTAAATAATTAAAATCATATTATCCACACATTTACATGTTAAAAGAATATTGAGAGAATAATTTAGGGTTTTTAGAGCATATTTGCATCATATTTTAAAAAATTAAGAACATAAAAATCCACTCCCTCATAATATGTAACAGCCTGAAGGTAAGGCTAATTTGTTCTTCAACAGGTATTACTACACAGAAAATAATCATTTATTTTGTTATTTATTGTCGAATTTTATTTAATAACTTATCTTATGAGTTTAAAGCCATTCGAATATGTTCGAAAAACTTTTCTGGATACATCTTTATATACTGGAAAAAATCGAAAAAAAGACTAGTGTTTTGACGGGTAGCAATAAATGGTGTATTCAGTATCTACTTTTTTTCCTTGGCGAGTTCAATAAGCTAAAAGCATGAGCAAATACAATTATTTGCTTCTTCTACCTCTTCTTCCTTCAACATTAATTTCTACAACTGTTCTTACGGCTTCCGATTCTTCGTTTCTCATAATATGACCAAACCATCTAAGTCTATTTTCTCTCATTTTATCCACGATTGACGCTACACCTATACTCCGTCTTATATGCTCATTTCTTATCTTATCTGCTCTAGTCAATCCACTCATCTATCTAAGCATTCTAATCTCTGCTCTACTTTCTTATCAACCGCCCAACACTCTGAACCATACATCATAGCTGGTATCACTAGTCACAGTTCTCACAGTGTTGTAGAATTTACCTTTCAGCCTCATTGGAATTCTTTTATCGCATAGGACACCAGATGCTTCTCTCCATTTCAACCACCCGCACTTAATCCTGTGTCTTACATCCTCGTCAATAACACCGCACAACTGATCCTAAATACTTAAAACTTTCCACCTTTCCAATCACGTCCTCACCTATTGTTACTGATCTCCTCATTTCACCTACCTCGTGTTCTCCTTTGCCAAACTCGTACTCTATATACTCTGTCTTACTCCTATTTATTCTTAAGTTTTTTCTTCAAGAGTTGATTTCCACACCTCTAACCTTTGATTAATTTCCGCCCTAATCTCTCCTATTAACACTACATCGTCAGCAAACAACATGCACCACGGCACCTCTCCTTGTATTTCTCTAGTAATTTTATCCATCACAATAGAAAATAAGTAAGGGCTTAAAGCAGAACCTTGGTGCACTCCTACTCTTACCCAAAAACTTCTGTTACTCCTCCCTTACTTTTTACCCTAGTACAAGTGCCATCATACATATTCACTATTATATTAATGTACCTCTTCGGGACTCCTTTTCTTATTAATGCCCACTTTAGAATCTCTATCGGTACTCTATCATACGCTTTCTCCAAATATATAAATACCATAAAAAATTTTTTTCTTTTGTTCCCTAAACTTTTCTATTAGTTGCCTCGCACAAAATAATGGCTCCATTGTTGACTTACCAGGTATAAATCCGAATTGGTTTTTAGATACCGATGTCTGAGTTATTATTCTCTTATCTTATCTTATAAACTTAATTATTGAAAATGTTTTGGCAATACTGCGTTCTTTAATATATTAATTAAAAGTTTATATAATATACTACAAGTTAAAAACAAAAATTTGTCTTCTATAAGTAATTTATAAACTTTTCTTACAGACAAATATTTTTTGTTTTACTTTTTTTATGTTTTTATTGAAATATTTCAATTTTTGTTTAATTTTATTTAATATTTTGCCTTGAAATTATTTATTTTTTAAACCTTTTTTTGATAAGTTAGCAATTATAGTATTTTAATAAAAACTACCGAAAATCAACATTTCAAATTACTATTTATATTAGAAAATTTTATTAGTTTGTAGTATTTACATTAAGTAATTATAATTTATAGATTGACCCCATTGTCTACACCTCCGGTAGAAAAATCAACTATGATGAATCTTTCATTACAAGAAATCATACTAATAGGAAATGCTTCCGAACAGGTTTATGCACACTAGTTAAAATAATCAAATATAGTAACTTATTTATATGTTTTATCTAGGTGAAATTTAGCGAAATGACTATTGACATGTTTCGAATGATGCAAACGTTGGAACGTGAAAAGAATCGAGATGAGACAAATCATGTTTCAGATCCTCCATCCAGAGCATCATTTGTGAGTGTTATTTTTTATTGTTTTAAATAAATATTATCTCAGGTTAACAATAATTTTTTATAGTAATTTGCAAATATATTTTTATTACTTTTTGGAGATGAATGCAAAATTCTATCATAGTATAGTTGTTCATGAATAACAGACGCTGAAGTTATTTTAAATGTAAACGTAAATAATTAACTTGCATTCACTAACATTTATGAACCTGTATTTTATTAGTTCGAAGCAATGACGATGAAGTCGGTTGAATTTGGTTTGGTTGTGTTGCCCCCCTAGTCAAAATACCCAATAAAAGAAAAATTATTATTACTGTTAAAGATCTGGATTAAATTACAAAAATTATTTTTTATCAATTTCAGGTTCTATGATTATCCCATAGTAATATGTTTATTATTATTTTATTATCAATCATGGCCTCCCAAATTTGATTGACCAAAGAAAATTGAAAATAAGTTTTTGACAAAGGTTTAATTTGTTTTATATTTCATGCCGCATTCATATACTTCAACATTTAATTTAATTTTTTTAATTTGGTAAAAGTTACTCTACTTAAAAAGTTTGATTTTGAATATCCTATAAAATGAACTGTGTAGTTTCCAAAAATAATGATAAGGTAACTTATTTTTATTTATTTTAATACATTAAAAAAAATCTATATTTTATAATAAGTGCAAAATTACAATTAATCCTATAAACTATACTTTAGTATAATATCGCCAAAATCTCAAAACAAAAAAAAACTTTAACTGCTTTTTTAACTTTGTAATATTCAAGGGAATCTATTTCTATTAATTTGACTTTTACGTAGAAAAAATAGTTTTGGCACCCTTGATTCGCGGATGATAATTTAATTTTTCTAAAGGTGAACCAATGTTTTCTTTCTATACTACTATGTAATTCTTTGAACTCAACTCTCGACTTTTTGTGCCTGATATATGGTCTTTTTTTGTAAGGGTTTAAAATGATATCTATATGATTATAATAATCAATATGATTGTATGAAGTAATTGTATTATCATTTAACGTTATATAATAACGTAATATTTGTTTTATGATGGATATATGCGAATTCAGGAAAAAAGCTACTCTATAACAAGCAATAAAACTTTAGCGTATCCAATGATGGCAAGTCATGATGTTAACAATGGGAGAAGAGAAAATCCACACAAATATATTCTTTATAAGCCAACCATCACTCAGATCATGATGTTTTTAGCCACAGGTCTGATTTGAATAAATTCACATTGTAAATAATTTACTATGATAATTATATTTTTACAAAATAATTATTGTTTTACTGCAGGGTTCAAAGAGCTTCCTGCTAACGGTGTATTACTTATGTACGTATCAGCTGATGGATGCTTTCAAACTTCAAAACATGTTAATGACTGTAAGCTTAGGCTATAACATTTTTTTCTATTAGTTATGAAGATAATTAAATTCAACTATTTAATTTTAAAGTGGGTTACGATTGCGGTGGTATTATGGCTAGTAGTAAGCGAGAAATGGAATTAACGAACAAAAAAGGAATGCACGTAAAAGAAATTCATTGGTATAAATTATTAAATTAATGCTAAAGGCTTGAAATTTTCATTTTATTTTACTTAAAAATATGATATGTATTTATACTTAGTTTATATCCTGGCGATCTATACCCGTTCACTAGAAAACCTCTATTTGTTATAATCGATTCAGATAACAGTTTTGCCTTTCAGTACATTCCAAGATATTTTGGTCATCCATTTGTCGTGTTGATGTCTCCGCAAGAACTACCAGATAAGCTTCACGGTAATAATAAAGTAATAATGTTAATATAATAGTAGTATGTAAAACATTAGGTCATTTTACTCATTGGTAATGATTTCAATTTACGAGTAAAATTTTGTTCAATAATCAGAAAAATAATAGTTAAGTGGGTTTACATAATAAAATGTAATACATTTTTATAAAAATGTGGTTCGCTTTACACGTTTTTCAATAGGATTTATGTATTTAAAATTGTGATTTTTTTTTTACAGAACAATTGCAACATAATGGAAGTCTATTCACATTATTTTTACATAGTCCTCTTACTGCGTTTTGTCTAATTTGTAATATTTTGACAGTAAAAATGCATTTGTGGGAAAGAGCTAATTCATACGTGGATAGGTTTATCACTGAGGCAAGTCGTTTGTTCACCAGTAAAGTGAAGCCGGGTATATTTAACAATTATGCCATATTCTATTAATTATAACATACAGAATACTTATATAATTTTATTATATAATTTTTAAAGATGTATCGTACATACAGTTCTTCGGAGACGATTTTTTAAGGCTTCTGTTGTTACGTTACGTCTTTTGTCATGTCGTATTACGACACCATCGAGCTTTCAATGTGAGTTACTATTTTATTGTTTCTTAAAATAACACACAATTGTATAAACTTTAAAATTTCATCATCAACTATAATTAATATAACTATAGAAGTTTATTTATTAATGTTGACAATATTAATATTAATGTCCATACCATTAGTTTATTCAAATAATTCGTTTTATATTCTACAGCGTGATTTATTTATTTTGTTTCTTTTAGTTATTTATTTTTTAGCTTCGATGCGAAGCGGAGAAGGTATTAAGTTTACTATGATGTGTTTTTTTTTTTTTATGTCTGTTGCCACTTTTTCTCAGCTCTCACTGGACCGATTTCTTTCAAAAATACGTCAAAAGATCACAAATCGTATCTAGTTGGCGACATTACCTTTAAAAATTGAAAAAAATTCCCTCGTTCCCCCCAAACGGGGGAAATAGGCAAAAAAAAAATAAATTTAAAAATCGCTAATTTTGTAAATTTTTTCACTCTTTTTTCTTAAAACTTCCATAACTTTTTCAAAAATCAACATAATTTTTTTTTATACTAAAACCTTAAATATTTATCTTTCATTTGATATCATTTTTTTGAAAATTTATCACTTAACCTACTCATTAGGGAGGATTTAAAATAGCAACTTTATTACAAAAATTAACTTTTTCAACTTCATTTTTGAAAATGTTCCGGAAATACTGCGTCCTTCAAACATATATCAAATTAAAGCTTATTTTATGTACTATAAAATAAAAAAAAAAATTTGTCCCGACACTTTATCTTCTGCATGTAAACGGCTGCCGTAGTTAAAAAAACGCTATTATTGTGTTAAAATTTTCGATTTTAAATTTTCAACTTAAAAATGCTATAACTTTTCGAAAAATGTATGTATCAGCACAAATTTTTTTTCTAAATACATTATAAGTGCATATTTCAGTTGACATACTTTTTATTAAAATTGGACAATTTCCCTATATATAGGGGGCGTTCAAAACTTGAAATATTGTATAAAAAATAGAACTTTTTCAACTTAATTTTTAAAAGTGTTCCGGAAATACTGCGTCCTTTAAACATACATCAAATTAAAGCTTATTTTATGTACTATAAAATAAAAAAAAAAAATTTGTCCCGACGATCTATCTTCTATGCGCAAATGGCTACCGTATTCAAAAATATGCTATTTTAACAAATTTTTTTTTTTTTAATTAAACACTATCTACAGATTTGCATCGAAGCGTTTTTTATGATAGTGATTTTAATCACTGTCAGATATCATCTATACTGGACCCAACTATGCCACGACCCCACTNTTAATCACTGTCAGATATCATCTATACTGGACCCATCTATGCCACGACCCCACTTTGCCGCCACCCCACTGTGCTGGGTTTTTTTTTTTTTTATTATAAGTCGTAAAGTATTTTTAATTATCGTCCTTATATCTCACAACTTTATTTTTTCAAATTGTAACATACATAATTAACTAACTTATTTAATTGATAACGAGATGATTAAGAAAATGACTGGTCGATAATAACTTTTATGAAACTACTTCAGAAGTTAACCGTTTTAAAATATAGAGTGAAAGTTATTAACGTGTATTGTAACACCTTAATAACGTGTTTCAACAAGCCATCATTGGAAATAGCTGTAGGTGAGACGACGCAGGTGTTCTTATTTTTACCACTAGTCATTTCTCGAACACATTCTTCCTTTGTCATAGTTATAAAAATGGCAATAACTTCTGAAATATTAGTGTAAAAGTTGTTATCAATTAGTCATTCGTATACAACACTCTCCACCCCTAAGAAAAAAAGAGAGTACTGTCTTTGAAAATTATCACAAGTAAAGAATTCATTTAATATAAATAATATTGTTATTTAGGGTGAACAATATCTACCACGATGTCAACCACCTCTACCATTGGCCAGTTTTTTAGAAGAGATATCTTTAAAAAAATATGTCAAAGAATTAGCAAAGCATTTCGATGTTTCGTCTCATTTCGAAAACTTTGAATAAAATATTCACTACCAGTACCGAATGAAATACGGTCGTTTAATTCTTCCATTATAAAAATAATAATTATTTTACTATTATAAATTATTATTGTTGTTATTTTATTATAATATATATAGATATGTAGCATATAATTAACACGTTTATGTATAGAATTGTACAAAGTATTGTCCAAAAATCCATGTGTTCCATAAACATGTTTTTTTGGGCTCCAAGGTTAACTTAAATAAAAAAACTATATATAATAGATATACTCAAAAAAAAACAATAAGCAAAAATCCAGGTTCGACCAAACGTACGTAAGGCAGTGATTTCTTTTATAAATAGTTAGTTAAACTCATAATTTGTATTGCAATTAACTTGACTGTGTTCAATTAATAAATAAAATATTATATAGGGGTAGATCATATTATGTGTCTATTCGATTTTTAATTTTCTTTTTTCAAGCTTCCTTGATTTTTTTCCATTATATTCTTTGTATTTTAAAACTCAAAAATTAATGATAATGTTTGAGCCCGTAGTTCTAATATATAAGCCTAAATTATGATAATACAGTCTAAAAATAAAAATAAATTTTCTTTAAACGCATAGTATAATATAGTTATTGAACAATCTTAAAACTGTAATTAGATAATTTAATTAATTAACTATATAATTAAAACACCATTTTATTAATATACATTTTGTAACAAAAATATTTACATCTAAAATTTTTACCAATAAAAAAAAGTCGAAAACAACATTTGTTTTATTAAAACCTTCGATCTATTTTATTTTTTTTAAGATTAGGAATATACTTGAAGTATCAAAGAAAAATAAATGTATTAATAATTAATTTAGTTTTCTTCAGAACATTTTTTTATGGTCTCAATATTTTTAGCTTTTGAAGCTGTGAAGGATTTTTTGTATTCATTTAAAGAATTTGTAATGATATATCTACCTCTGTTTAACGTGAAAGGTTACAACATTTCATAGAAAAAAAAAACCAAATTAATTGGCCACAATGGATAAGGTTTGTAACTATTCATGGCGCACTGAAAAAAACAAAATGAGGGTCGCCAATCCACTGGGCGAGACAATGTACTATCGGACCACAGTAGGATCTAAAAAAAAAATAAAATATTGTACATTGAAGACAATTTAATATAATAAAATATAAAAAAATAGAGAAGAAATAAAGGTTGTTCAATTTTAAAGTCATTATTAAATTAAAATACTACTAATAATAAGATATAAAAGGAAAAGGTTTTTTTTTATAGTTGAACAGGCCATAATACGTAGGCTGTCTGATAATTAAGGTACAAAGTTATTTTTAACATAAACAATGGGGAATTTCGACTGGAAATTTTTAGCATTGATAATTTAGATAACAAGCAATATATTTTATTAGTCATGGCTATAATAATTAAGTGTTACGTCTGCAGCGAAAGTGTTAACATGGAAAACCAATATTTAAGTTGCACAAAAAAAGAAATACACGCCGTCATTCAATTTTTAAATTTTCAAAATGTTTCTCCGACTGAAATTCATAGAAAAATAACTGAAGTTTATGGCTCAAATGTAATGTCACGAAAAAGTGTGTCGGTTTAGTGTTCAAAATTTAATTTGGGTCGGGAAAGTGTTGAAGATGAAGCAAGAAGCGGTCGACCAATAAGCACGTCCACTACCGAAACCATTAAGGCATAATGGCCACACAACTTGATCTCCCAAAGACTACTGTGCATGAAATTGTCCATGGGAAATTAAATTTTCGTAAGGTTTGTGCGCGTTGGGTTCCGAAAATGCTCACAGCAGACCACAAAAGCACACGCATGCGGATATCCCAAGAGCATTTGAATCGTGCTTGTAATGACGAAAACTTCCTCGAACGCCTCATTACAGGAGATGAGACATGGGTTCATTATTCGACTCCTTGCAATAAACGAGACTCAATGACCTGGAAACAGATACCGAGTACTTCGATGGAAAATGTGCTTCATATTTCCAAGATGGCAATTTCAAGCTATTCCACCGTTGGGAAAAATGTATTAAATTAAATGGTGACTATGTAGAAAAAAAGAAAAACATGTCTAATTTATCATGTAAAAGTTTAAAAATAATAAATTCATTTTTCATTATTCAGTATATTTTTGTACCTTATTCATCGGACAACCTACGTAATACTAAATTCTGCAATAATTATAGACTTAAAATTAACTTAAGTTGTATTTGATGTTCGCTGAGTCGTTGATAGTTGATATACACCAAAACCTCGTGACAGTTGTCGCATAACCATGATGATTAGAAATGACCTTAGATAAGGCCGTTGCCCGTACATTATTAACTAGAGAGAGTTAATTTTTGAAAGGAAAAAAAAATACAAAATACACGAGTCCATTGAAGATGGAACACGTAAAAAAAATTTTAAACGGTGGTTAAGTTAAATAAAGGGGACTTGATTAAAAAAAAGACAAAAAAAATTAAGTTAATACGAGGCAATAAACCTAGTCTACAAATTAAAGGGAACAAAGAAAAGAAAAAAAAAATCAGATATTAATATAAAACTGATTTACACCTACACTTTTATTACCAGAGAATACGATGAACATCTTTGGGTACCCACCGGCTGTTAAGCACGGTATTACCGTTTAGCACGTCGGGTATACGCCCCAAATAAGCGACTGGTTTTAAGCAGTTAGACTTAGCTTGCAAGACTTTGAATAAAAAAATAAATACACTACGTCACCATATTGTTCTAATGACATATACTGAACACCCAATGTAATATATTATAAAACCTATGTATATATATATAAAATCACAAAAATATATTTAACATGACAGGTGGTATTGTAACACGCCTGCCATTTTGAGAGACCTAAAAAAAATAGGGACACCTACAAAAAAATAATAAAAAAATTTGTCACACATGCTTATGGCACAGCGCCCTCAAAAATTATACATTACCAGCCCCGAAGGATTAAAGAATAGGAGATAAGCTCAGCTGACACCGTAAAATAAAACAAAATTACATATCTAATCTAGCGGACACTCACGAAAAATATATAAAAAAAAACAAAGTTGCAGCGCACACAACAAAAAGTCACTACTGCTACGGGCTAAAATTAACCCACAACCAGTTCCGACAATGGCTAATTTCCGACCAACCGTCCGACGTTTGACCCGGCGGTCCGGTGGCGACATCTGGCTAGCTATTAGAGTAGGAGTTAACAAATTTTACTACCCAGTGCCGGAAATTATTAATCGTATCAGAATGTATCATAAGGCGACAATGTAGATGGTGAGAAGTGCAAATGACGTTAAAAATAGGAAAGGAGCGAGGTGAGTGTACACACAAATGCCGTTCATGAACCGGTCCGAAATAGTACACAGCTGGCTATACCGCACGCGTATAAACACAAATAAATCACAACAACTTATTGTGATTATTTGAATGATAAGCCCCGTCGCAACATGCATTCGGCTTAACCAAATTAATTTAGGATACATATATATATATACGAATATACCAAAAGGAAGAGGTACCTTTTGTCACGTTACAAACGAGACAATGACAAAGGGAAGTCACAATGATAAAGTCACTGAACTTCATAAAAGTTATATAAATTTAATTTACATTTAATATAATATTACACTAATTTCAAATTTTTGCCAATGTCCCCATCCAAATTGAGAATGAAGACTTTTTTCTTAAACTTGTCATAACTTTGAAAAATCGAATCAAACAATTTTTTTTAAAAAGAAAACCTTAGGTATTTCCCTTTACTTAAGTATATTTTTTGAAAATCTAAAACTTAACTTGTCCACAAGAGGGATTCAATGACAATCGTACTTAAGGTGTAAACTACAGTCATTAAAGCTGACACACACACATTTTTAACATGATTACTCAAATATCAAAATATTATTTAAAAAAATAATTATATCTTCAAATATTATAATATAACAGTTTTTGGTCAAATATTTAAAGTCGTGTTTTTTGAGCCACCCTACTGTATATATATTTAAATAATAAAAAGATTTCGTTTTAAATAAATTATGAAATTACCATCAAATACCAGGTGAAGTGATTTAAGACTTAACAAGCTTTTATTATAATATTATTGCCAATGTGGGCCTGAGTTTATTTTTAATTACAGAATTTGGCTTAACTCCAATCGTGTTAGATGTTAGGGACCAAAATATTTGGTGGGTTTATACACAGTGTTTTCTTTTCCGACGTCCAATATTTATTTGTGAGTACAATTTTAAATAAAGGAAAATACTAAATTAAAAAAATGTACAATTTTATTTGAAGTGTTTTGAAGGTGCAAATTTACCATTATTTGTGGTATATTTATATATGTAGAACGACTATGGAAGATGCAGGTCGGTAAATTAATCTTAGATATTTTAAATAATCATATTAAAATAACAATTAGTGTAATTAATAATTAAAATTATTTTTTTACTTTAATTCAGAATAATACAATGACATTTTTTGGCAGTATTATTTTTGTTACTGGATAACATACTTAATTAACTTAAATAAAATAAACCGTATTTTTACAAACTTTGAACAACGATATCGAACTCAAAGCAATCATTAATAAGTTCATTTTTAAGACGAAACCTGTAAATTATTTACATAATTTTATTATGACCTTTAAATAAAAACTATACATATATATACATTCATCTCTTTCACTAAAAAATACAAGGTAACTGATTGATATTATGTTAGGCATAGCTCACGAAATATGATTAAAAAAATAAAACAAATTATAATTTTTATTTTACAAAATTTAATACCACCGTCATAATATTTTTTTAAATGGTAGCTCAAAAATATCGAACAGTCATTTTATTAATTAGATCATGTTTTTATTTTTAAGCTAGTTAAACTCAAGTTTTTAAGTGAAACAGGGAAATAAGTCCATTTTTTTAAATTATAAAACATGAGATAGTATTAATTTCTGAACAGGAAAAATTACAACATATTTTATAGTTATAAAGATATTGATTATATCTATAAATTTATTATAAATTACCTTGTATAAAATAGCTGATAATATATATCTGTGGATTGAAACAAAAAGCTAATAAGTCACATAAATTATTTTTGAAATTTTTGAAACGCATAAACACCCTTTGTCATTTAGCAATTTATAAACTACATTTAATTTTATTTAATTAATTAGCCACAAGTGATCATTCTTTATTATACATTTAATTTAAACATTTCTATAGGGAATAATATTTTCTGCTGTGTCCTAAAATATTATAAATCGAATTATGTCCGCTAAGGATTCTTTTTTGGATTTCAAAAATAACAAAAATTCATTAAAGTCCCTTTTGAAAGATGGTTAAAATTTACTAACCGTCTCTTAAATAGTCATATATACAGAGTGGAACAAATATAACTAATTAATATATATACAAATACAAACAAAAAAGAGATTTACACTTCCAACAAAGTGGTCCCTTATTCTAATTAGTAACTTATTCTAATGATAAAAATAATAATAATAATTTATATATAAATAATATATATAAATTTAACTAATTTATATGACTTCACGCGTTTTAAACGTCGTGGGTCATTGGAATTATCCAATATTTGGATAATTTGCTGCTAGGTTTCATGGTTTTCCAAACTAGTTATATGCTTATGTACAAACCGATTGACTTAATCGGCTACAATTGGTAGCATCATATCACGACGAATTGCGTCATTCTTTTGGAATCGGTAAGCCTTGATCATAGTACGAAGGATGATATTTTAACAGCTTTGTAAAACCTCTATGATAAACTTATTAATACAACACCACAATTGAATTTACGTAAAATTTTCAAAAAAATTTGTGGAGGCTAAGTAATTTTTCAACTCCTCCAGTTTGCACGTTTATCAATAAATTTTGTCAAATGTAAATTTTTCTTTCTAGATTATATGTATTTTGTTTTTAAACATATGAGTTCAAACTGAAATATTTTGTTACACCTTGCATTTTAATACAGTCGGATATTTTTACTTTTTAGATACAAAATACTACTCAACATATAAGTACAATAAAATTCATTTATTATTTATTTATCATATTTTTAAAGTTTTTATTTTATTTTAGAGTTTCAACATAATGAAAATGATCATGTACTAGAGACAAATATATCACAAACGGAAAAATCAACTCTATATAATACCATTCATTGTCAATCTACACCTAGTAGATCGCCCTCAATTAGATCAAAACTTAATAGGTCACCTTCTTATAGATCCATTTCCAACAAATCAACAACACCTGAACCTCCACCCGTCCCTCCTGCTACCTATCACTGGGAAGAACTCCGAAGACAACGAACTACAGGAGGCTACCCTTGGACACATCTAAACAAACCCCCGTATGATGAAAACAATTGGAAAAATTATAGGCATGTAATCAAAAATAATCTAATCTTAATGCATTAAAAAATTGTATAGAAAATGTCGGATTATCGAGAAAAGTTATTTACATAAATTTTAATTTTTAGTCGTAAATTTCAAACAAAAAATATAAATCAAATAATTTTAATTCTTGTCCAATAATTTTAGTGTCTAGTGACAAAAACAAACTTAAAATTCAATAAGTATTAAGTCTTAAAAACAATTATTTATTTTTGATTTTTAACTGACTATTAGAATTTTCTTTCCATAATTTGATTTTACCAAAAAATTATAATTGATTAGTTGAGAATAAATTTAAATGAATATACTAAATATTTAGATCTGGTCAATTGGCCAAAATTATTTTTGGCGAGTGTTGTAGCATTTTCGATTTCTGTTAAAATAATCGAGCACGATTGTACTTCGCGTCTTGGTGTCACATCTAGACATCAGAATATAATTCAGTGTTAGCTCGTATCTCAATAGTACATCTACGTGATATTTTTTTGATTATGTTAAATACTTCATTACTCATAAATTATGAATAAATAAGTGAATTACTATAAAAAAGAATTAACATATAACTAGTGACATTTTCCAAAATGGGGTAAGTATATTTTGATGAAATCAAACTAAAATTAAATAAAATTTCTAATTTTAATTATTTACTGTTGTATTATGTTAGTATTTAATATAAAAGTATTTTAAATTAAATTTTTTTTTGCAAATTACAATGAAAAATCCATGCAAATATGAAAACGTTTTACTGTGGTATTTTAAGACATTACATATTAACATTTTCTATAGTGCTAGTACTTCACATAATAAAAATATATTTTGGTACGCGCAGAGTATTGTGAGTATGCAGAGGTGTTTTATCTGCTCTACTTTTAGACTTCTATACGACGACGGGATGCTTATAAATATATTTTTGTTCTCTCATGTCAACTCTTGGCGTTCTATTTTTGACAAATAAATTTAACCCTTTTACCAACTGAAACAATATTACAATATTGATTATTTACATTATATATTTTTCAGAGACCATGTATACGAACCGGTTACGCCTACGGCCAGTACGGACAAAATATCAATATCAACCATTGTTAAAGAAGAGAATAAGCATTTTCTACGCATACCTTTGGCTGAAGAGATAGTAATGGCCGACCAGACAGAATCAGACGATGAAGATGAAGAAAACAGCAACCAACGATCGGAAGAAGATGAATATGAAGATGAGTTTGGAGAAGATGAAGATGAAAAAAAGATGACTACTGACGAATCGATTTATGAAGGTGAAAATGATAATTCATCAGTTGGCGGTAGTCGTGATAGTGACCACAGTCGACCAACTAAAATGAAAGCTTTCCAGCAAAAATGTAAAGTAAAAGCAGACGTACTGCGAAACAAATTAAAAGGCGTCACTAAGCGTAAGCCTAAACAGAAGAAAACCATAGTTGTAGATGCATCTGAAGAAGGCGCTGAAAAAAGTACCTGTCGGTTTGGCCATTTTGCCACTTTGCCAAAAAAATTGAACTTTCATGCGCCAGATATTCGTTTACCGTCGACGTTTAATCGATTGAAACGCCAAGAAGAAGAGTCATCTATTTTATCAAAAGAAAATAAAAGCAATAGTAGATTTAGCATATCTCGTTTTCGGTCCCCAAAATCGACGTCCGAATCTCCAAAACCATCTAAATCAACTAGATTTGGAGCTTCTAGATTATCCATACCAAATTTACGACCTCGTACATGGTCGGATGCATCTAAAACGTCAAAGCCATCAACAGCTGACACTCGTATAAAAACCAAGCTAATAGAATTCGGTACATATCCTAGAATATTTTCTAAACGCAGAAAAGTAGATAACGATACGAATGCTATGGATTCTAAACAACACACTCCTTTTATGAAGCGTAAAGAATCATTTAGACGACGATTTTTCCGTTCGAACCACAAAGAACTCACACCTGGCCCACCCGAAGTTAGTGTCAACACGCCAGCAGCTACATTAGCAGTAGAAGAAGTAGTTACGGATGAAGGCAATGTGTCTAAAGAATCGCTTGAAGATTTTGGAGACAGCGATTTACAAGAAGTGGTATCTTTAAGTGATGACTGTAGCCGTTCGAAAAATACAAAGAATATGTGTGAACACCAAGCTGGTGTTATAGAAGAAATTGACTCTGACGAATTTTTTTTGCGCGAAAAAGGTTTAAGTCGTGGAAATGTACATATTAGCAATTATCTATCGTCCGAAATTAAACACGTATTTAGATCAACTCGAACGCGATCTGTAGATGAAAATAACACTATAGAATCTAATAAACCTCAAAAGGCAATTCCCGTTCGACCAACACGCACTAATTCGATGAGAAAACATAATAACTTGCAAAATGAAGGTCATTTACTTAATGTACATGACAATAGGTTCAACACAATGCCAAAATCATTTGGAAGTGTGATATCGGTAAAAAATAAATACCAAAAAGATGATGATATCCCAGAAAATATTATCACTAGTCAAACATTTGAACCCAATTTGACTTTACCGTCTACAATTAAAGTGCCTTGGCGAAACTCCGATAAAGAAAATTTAATCTCCCATATGCCCCCAAAACCACCTTCAAGACAACGAATGGCTAATCAACGGTGTTCTAGTTTTGATACAAGGTCCATGATTGATCTATCTCGCAAAAGAAACCAATCACAAAACGTAAGTAGTAAATACGAAGTTCTTATTAAGATTAATAAAAATAACACTTCAAAATAAAAAAGTTATTATAACATAAAATAAAAATTAATAAACACAAATAACTTTTTTGAAAGGTTTTTAATCGTAATCGTAAAGCAACAAGTAAAAATGAAGTTTTATTAAAAATGATAATATTAATATATTTTTATAGTAAAAGTGGTGGAGAATTTAATAATAGTATTGGAAATGATATAAAAACAAATTATCTATAATTTTATTATCTATTTTATTATTAATTTTATTATTAAATTATCTATAATTATTTTTACGTTATGTGTTATTTCTATTTACTTCCATAATTTTTAAAAATCAAAAAATATAGTTATTTAAATGAAAAAATAAATAAAAATTTCAACTTTAAAAGCTTTTAGCAAATTAAAAAATAATAAAAATTTAATTTTAAACTTTTAGTAGGTGGATAGTTAGGTTAATTTAGCTACTTCTTTCCTTAGTTATGTAGTTGGCCGAACTGGAGAATAAATTTTCTTGTTTAGGGCTTTCTAAGAGTCATATTAAATAATAGAAATGCAGCAAAAATTCACGAAAGATAATTTTTAATAGTTCATTCACACGATGCTTTTAAGTAAATATAAAAAATACTCTTACAGAATATTTATTTGTTTAAAGAGTTATTAGGTTTTTAGTGACTTTTTTATAGACCTCCTGTAAAATTATAAAAAGGACAATAGTAAGTTTTAACTTTTCGCCCAACAATAATAAAATATTCAAAAATATAAGATTTTTAATTTTTTCAAACAAAATTTAGCTTACAAAAAAAAGTTTCGTACAAAAGTTGTTTAAAAGACAATTTTAAACAAAAAATGTATCGTATATTTTTTCGTTTAAACAAATATTTTTCGAGTTACATTACATTTAATATGAGTACTAAAATTTATTTTTCAATTTTTTTCATTTTACGGTTACTTTTTATCATGTTATACTTACATAAGACACAATGTTATAAATGCATATGTGTGTATGTGTGAGTTTATTTATTTATAGTATCATTAAAGTGTAGTGTATATTAAGATACAACCGATAGAGTAGGTAATTGATTTGACGCTATATTGTTTAAACCCAACTAAACGCTAAATTGTACATTCCCAAACAACAATTATAAGTCATAATTCAACTTTAAAAAAAAAAAAATTTGGTTGGGAATTTTTTCCGCCATTTTTCCTTCGTTGACAGGCCGAAAGTATTGGTTTTGTGATGTTTTTTTTATGTCGGTCCATGAAAATTCTCAACTCTCAATGGACTACTTTTAATAAACATTACGTTAAAAGAACCCGATTTTAATTACATCAGATTGACAGCTGGTTTTTAATTCTCAAAACAGTGTAAGGTAAAGCCGGACCCAAATAAATGGGATAAGAAGAATGTACATTTTAATAGAAATATTTTAAGATGGCCAGAATTAAGTTAGACTCCTCCAAACATTTGATTCAAAATTCTTTTATGTAAGGGTTTGGTTAATTAATATATTTGCGTGTATTAATATACATATTTCTATTTTATTAAATTTTTAAGTTGATAAATGATTCATAAATATCAAAAAACTGGAATGAATGTATTACTTTTATAAAATAAAAATAAAAAATTATTCGGAACCGAGTCGATTTCAGTGTAGACCCGGCATACAGAAAACTATATAAATAGTATGGAATAGAAGTGTACTTGTGGTAGTGGAACTCTGTGCACTATTTTTTAATCAATAATGAGTTTAAAAAATCTTTTTTTCACAAAATGTATAATAATAATATATAAAAATTTATAAAATGAACAATATTTTTAAGAATTCTACTATTTTTTTAATTTTTGAAATGTTTAAATTTAAATTATGATAAGTTTCATAATAGTACTAATTTTAATTCTTGAATTTTTGAATCTGTTATAATTGAATTAAATTTAAGTTCCTCAATTCAATTTTTTTAAACAAATGTAAGAAATACATACATCTGTACTAGAGCAAGCTGCCTTGTTTTTATAGGACTAAATACAGTTTTACATACCACTTACACTAATGTAAATAAAAGAAAATTGCTATTTTTAAACCAAAATATTCGTGATTTCATTTAATGCGTAAAATTTGTAATTAAACTATTCATATATTGCCATTTATTTCTCATACAAATTAATTTACGTTTTTTTTTTTCATTACAAATAATTGATTGATAAAATATCTAGTATTTACTATTTTAATCAATTATTTTCTTTTTTATATTCTTTATTTGTATATCAATTATTGCAACAATGATGTATTATATACTAGATATTATATATTTATTAGTATGCTGTGTCTTTTTGACAACCTACACCTTTAAAATGAACTGTCCACGGTCATTTGTAATAAAAGTTGTTTCTTAGTAATTATGTACTAGATTATAAAAATTATGTTTTTAAATTTATATCCTCCAACAAAGACTCTAGGTATTTTAAAATTAAAGTTGTCAAGTTACTTTTGTGGTAATTATCAAAGTTTTAATCATTAAACCAAACTCATAACAAAAAAACATAAGCGCATCATTATAATCAAAATGACTTTCAGTTTTTTTTCTTCCAATTCTATGTCAATGATACTAACAAGGGATATGGCTATAATTATTTACTAATTTTGGTGATATGTATAATTTATATATATATATCTTAATTTTATGGTTGATAACTTTTGTTTTTCTAAGTAAATTGTATAATTGTAAATATATGTAGATAATTTATAAAAATATATTTTTGAATTAAGTCATTAGATATCACACACCTTGTATACTAGAATACCATGTGAGTAAAAGAGAAATTAGTACATGTCCGAATTAATAAACAAATTTATTTAAAATAAAAACTGTATTTTGAAAAGTAGCCTCCATAATCAAGGTTATTTCATTTTTAATAATTATATATAAATGTAGTTTTTGTATAAGTATAATTGATTATTCAAAATTGGCCATTAATGGCTTAAAAGTTAAAATGTTAAGTTGATATAATTTATTTAGGTAACATTATTTTTTTGGTGGTTTTAAATTTCAATTCTATTATTTACTTATTTAACCTAAATAACTTATTAAATATAAGTACATTACAATAATATAATAATAAAGTTAAATTTTATTTCTAGTTGCTCTTAACTTATCTAAGTTGAAAAATATATATAAGTTGACTTATAACTTGACTTCATATTCTACGTTCAAAACTATATTAACGTCCATAAGTAAAAAATTATAGTAACTTGTCCAACCTTGAGATTATATAATTACATTATAAACAGTTTAAATATTTTGTTTAGGGATTCTCCCAACAAATTAAATTTTCAGAAGTTCCACCAAAAGCTCCATTAAGAAGATCTAGAGTATCATTAGCAGATATTGATAGAGAAAATTCAATGGGATCCGAAAAAGATGCTCCGACACCGCCTTTAAGACGATCTCGAATATCTTTGAACACCGATACGGATACCGAGGAAAGGATAGCGACTATGATATCTCACAGAAGTTATTCAAAACGTACTCCACCGCCTAGGCCTCCTTTTCCAGGTTATGCTACCATAGATAAGTCTGTATCAATATTGCCACCACAATCACCAATGAAACATGGACGAAAAAAATCATATGAAGTATTAAAAAGCCAGGAATTCGGGACATTTTTTACTATACCTAGATCATACAGCTTCAATAAATCCACAAATGAACCTCAAAATCCTATTAATTTACCACAACCGTCTCGACCCACCCGAGCATATAATACATTAGGACCTTCCCGACCACAAAGACGCCGTCGAGAACATGAATACGGTGACGTTACCGATAAAACCGACAAATACTCCGATAAAGAACAAATCAATGAAAAAGATAATATTTCAAATAAAGGTTTGAATTCAGGTGATATAATCGAAAAAATGAAATTAAGACCACTGCCGTCACCTCCGCCACCGCCTCGTAAAGCCAAGACACCAAATGAATCCCCTATACTTACCCAAAGGAGGTACACAGATTCGGCTTTAACTCCTTTTTTAGGACAAAGAGAAACATCTGTAGCATTATCTGATATATCTACCGATGTTTCTCAAATTATTTCATTAATGAAAAATGGAGATGTATCTATTGCCATACAAACGGACCCGTTACCAGCAGGTTACGAATTGGATGATAATAACTCTTACTGTGAATCTGTCTCTGAAAATGGAGAACGATCGATATCTAGAACATCTGTTACTGCTGATCGAACTGTATTTCAAGATTCAAACATAGAACGAATGGTACAACCGGCATCCAAAATATCAACAATTGAACAACATTCAGCTTTATCTAATGAAAATAGTTGTGTACCTATAACAATTTTACCATCTGATTTGAGCAGTCATCGGTCAAACGGAATGATGAGTGCTCAAAGTATTAGTGTTAAGGAATTAGAAGTTGGTAAAATAACTGTTGCTGATATTCGTGGCCAACGTTTAGACGTTAATGATATTACAGGATCAAGCTTAAAAATAAGTCAATTTTACGATATTGCAGCATCATCACATCCATCAAACAGTGGTGCACTTCCTCGCCACAACGATCAAAATTATTCAAAATCGTCATCATATGCACAAGTACTATCACAAATTGCTGACGAAACCATGTCTGTCCATTCTCGAATATCATCTACGTATCCAGAAGTAGACTCTGACGAAGATAGAACGAGTATTATGGGCGTTCCAACTCCACCACGTCGTCGAAGCAAACCACCACAACCATCAAAATTGGATTCTAGTGCAATCAATGACCCATCTATTACTGAACTTAGTTTTCAACTATTTAAACTATGCTATTCAAACGTTTGTAGTTTATTTACTAGAATTGTTCAGCAAGTAGTGCCTGATGATACTGAAAAACGACGTGATTTACAGGCAGCTTTATGCTTCTTAAGCATCGTATTAGCAGGACTACTTATACTAGGATTTGGAAACGAAAAAACAATCCATCATCATCATTGGGATTTTCAGTTTCCTCCAGCTAATCAATAAATAGCGCCTAAAAATTATGTTATTGCCTTTATTTTTTGCATTTTGATATTCGTTAGTAATTTTTATGACTCAATTTTTAGTATTCTAAGTTATAGAGTTTACAATATATTAATCTTAAAAAAAATTGTTAAAGACTGATGTCTTAAGGTTCAGACACCGAATATGTTGATTAAGATTAAAAAAAAAATCTAATAATATAAAATACTATATTTGCATTAAATATTTATTTCAGTTCAAAAATACAGTTAATTTGTATAACTAACTAAAGTTGTTTTAAGCATATAAATAGTTTTGATGTATCACTTGATAATTAAATTGAAAAATTGTTAGTGAAATTATTATAATTTTAATTTGTACTACAGTTAATGTGCAAGTATGTATATGAGCAGAACAACATTTTTTTACAAAAACTTCATCAATTTTATTAATTATTTTAATAAAATGAACGTCAATAGCATTTCAGATAACTTATTTTTTTATAATTCAATGTATATTATAACTGTTATATAATAATATATTTAATTTAATCTAAACATTGAATAGTATAATGATAAATTTTACATTTAAATCAATACATATACATGCATTTTGTCTTTACAACATACAAAAAGAACTTTTAATACATTTTAAATATTTAAACCTAATAAATAATTGATAATGTATTAATTTATTTTTATTGTCACCATATTAATACATATATTATCACCATAATAATATTATTAAATACAAATAGAGTTAAAAAATTATTTAAAATAAATTGATATCATCATATGACACTAGTGAACGGTCATCGCGTTGGTTTCCTTTTTGTGATTTATTAGTAGCTGAAAATAAGTAAATTGTTGATTAGAATATGTACCTTTGTTATACTAACATTCTTAAAAAATAATTGCTTGAAAAATATAGTTTTAAAAGATTATTATACTTTTAATCTAGAAAGGTACATAAAAAAATTTGAAGTCAAATTTAATTACCTATTACAACATTAAGAAAAGTTTTTTTACTTGCAATTGATTTTTCTTTTAAAGACGCCAGTCCATTTTAAATGGAGCTTGATTTTAAAATATTATTGAAATTTGTTTACTAGGTTTTTTAGTAAGACACAAGAGTAACAGTAGTATTAGTCAAGTGATATTGCAATGTGTTGAGTTATAAATATTAATTAAAGTAAAACACTAAATTAAATAAAAGATAGTTATGGAATAAGAATTGATTACTTGAAGCTAATAATATTTTATTTTTTATTTTATATAAAAATATGCAACTATTAATAAAAAAATTGAGTTGCTTAATTCATTGTAATATAAAAAATACTAGGCTCCACCTCAGACCTGAGGCCCTATAAACCTCTTTGGGCGGTTCTTATGAGTAAGACACCAATTCTAGTAGAAGTACCCAGTTATGCCAGGCCCAACAACTGTGTTGCAGGAAAAATATTACTTCAGAATCAATGTAACAAAAATAAATTAAAAACTGAATTATTAAAATCAGGAAAAATCAAAAAGAGAAAATAGTAAAATAAATTGGCTATAAATTTGACAGTTATTTACTGAGATATTCACCAGGTGCATAATCAGAAAGAATATTTTCAAATCATTTTCAAAGTATATTTATTTATTTTTTACTTTGGTAAACATTCTATAGAAAGTATTTGCTAAAAATTAAAGTGATGATCAAAAAAAAAAGTCTTTAAATTATAATTAGGTCATATTTCTTATATATCAGCTATACAAAATATTGATAGGACTGATCTAAGGGAGGAAATTACCCTTATCCTTCTTAAATATGCTCATTTTATACACAATAATTAATAATATTCTAATTATAATAGTAATGTTAACATTATAAAATAATTGTAGGAAAATTCCGTAGGTTACTACTTCTAAGACTATGTAATAAAGTCAAATTTTATAAGAATTCTAGTTATTGTGATTTGATGCTGTACAACATAGATTTCATAGATAAGTCCCAATTTTTACAATTTTAATGATTAACATCATATAAGAGATAAATAAGATTATTAATAGACTGTACTATCCTGATAATGTATAAACAAAATTATATACTTATAACCATGCTGAAATTTATGTATAACTATAAAAATTCATTGATAATATATACTAAATATATAACTAAATCATATTTGCTGTTATATTACTAAAATCCAAAATTGTATTCTAATACAAATTTCGCTTACACATAAAAAAACAATAAAAGTTCTAAGCTTATATAGAACATTTGAACTAGTTTATTATTAAACATAAGTTTAAACAAATTAAAATATATTAGATATATATATACTTACTAATAAATTTGATTACATACAAAAATTTTAGATAAAAAACTTGTTTAAAAGAAATAAAAAGGAAATAATTTTATAGTTAATAAACCGAAGATAGTTAATAATCTAACCCAATCAATACATATATAATAATTATAACATGTATGACATATGAATTGAATGAAAAAATTAAATTGATATAAAATAACATTTTCTACAAATAACATGCGTGTGGACCTTTAGTCGTAAAACACTGGCCTCAGCGAGCATTTTTCTAAAAGAAGATCAAAATTTTAAAACACTTTCAGGTGNTTAAGGGTCAAAATATACTTTGATAAAAAATGAACCAATACTTTATTTAAAACATGCGTGTGGACCTTTAGTCGTAAAACACTGGCCTCAGCGAGCATTTTTCTAAAAGAAGATCAAAATTTTAAAACACTTTCAGGTGAGGGACAAAAATATATCACTCTAAGTAATTTTTACAGAAAAGTGTTTTTAGCGTGTTTTATTATACAAACAGATAACTACAAAAGAATAATGTTTTATATTAGGATAATTAAAATGAAAAATTAAGCTATAAATACTGTAATGTTTTCTTCATAAAAATCTATATTACATACCTTACAAGTTGAACCATATATTTAAGAATAAAAGTATTAATTAATTAAATTATATTAACCATTCTTATTCCATTGAATACATGATTTCATGAAAAGTTTTGTAAATAACTTACCAATTGCATGCCATGCATTAACACCTTTTTCATTGCATTCTATTGGTTGGTTACGAGATATTGATACTTTTAATTTAATTCCAGATACTGTTGTACTATTCATCTAATAAGAATTAAGCAAAATATTAAGCTCGAAAGTTAGATACTTTGTTATTAAAAATACATACTTGAGCTACAGCCTTTTCTGCTATATCAGATGAGTTAAATGTTATAAATCCTCGACTAGAACAACAAAGTACATTTTGTACAAGTTGAATAAAATTAAGTTCATATTCTTATTCAATATTGTAAGTGTTGGATTAAAAATGATGTATCAACCAAAATACAAATTAATTTTTTTAATAATTTTATTCAATTATTTTTGTTGAGTTTTATATTTAAATTTTATAAATCTAGAGGTACTTTAACTTAAGTTATAACTTCTAAGTCTAGAGTTTTATTGCTGTAACAATTAATTCTACAAAAGAAAACTAAATAATTCAGTTTAAACAAATTATTTTAATTAATACGTTCCTCTAATTCCAATACCAATGATATGCTAAAGAGATACATACTTTTTTTCTATTTCCATAGAAATATTAATAATCGTTCCAAATTTACTAAATGTACTTCTCAGGAATTCTTCAGTCAAAGAACTACTACCACCAACAAATATAGTGATACCTTTTCGAGGAGTTTCGGAAATATGTTCTGGGGAATTTTGTATAACTGGTACAGTCATTTTTGATGTTGATGAAACAAAGTTATCATACAAATTCTATAAATAAATTAAAAAAATATATATTAAAGAAAAAATGTAGGATTAATACAATATAAATATTATATAAAAAACAAAAAATTACTGAAAATTTAGTAGTAGGTTTTGGTGAATTTTCAACGGGATCACTTTTGATTGGTGATGATGCTGAAAAAGGTTGATAACTAGTTAAAGTCTGTGGTGATGATAATATTTTTCTTTCCATGCCACAAGGTCTTTTGAAAGACTCTTGATCTGTTCGGTTAGGCACTTTTTTAATAGGTCCAATAGCTCCAGATTTCAAGAGTTTTCTAGCTATTTCTCGAGCATCGCGAGCAGTTTCTTTAGGTCTCTTAGGATTTAAAATAGGTGAAGGCTCTGGTTCAGGCCGCGGAGTTTTTTGAACTTGTAATGCTTTTTTCTGTAGTTTTTAAAAATTTAATAGTAATTTAAACCTTAACAATTTTACTTACTTTTTTTCTTAGTTTTTGATATTTATTCTGAAGCATTAGCTCTTCTTCTGTTAAGTTAGTAGGGAAATGTAAATACACCATTCTTATATTCTAAATTAAGAACGTCTAATATGTTTGAAAAATTGACTATTTAACTAGTAAATTGCAAAATTAATTTTTATAAAATGCATATTAATGGATAATAAATGATTATGAATGAATGAAGATTAAATTTCATTATGATATCAAAAATAAGTGATAATAGATAATTTACAATGACGTATGTATCATTTAACACATGTTAGTAAATATTGTTAGTACGTTTATATACATCTGTTATGATCTATAACGTGTTGTTTTGATAGGTTATTTTTTCAAATTTTGGCACATAATCTAAATTACCTTTAATTAAACCATAATTGTAATTGTTATCGACTTAATCTATTAATCATTTTCGAAGTTATCTGAATATGTAATCGTAGGTTTTTATTATTGAAAATTGAACTGTATGAACTTAGATGAATAGTTAGTAAACAAAATGGATCATATTCATTTTACAATTACTCAACAATGTTCTAATAGTAAAGGAGGCCGATTAGGCACAATAAAAAATTTAACAAAACAAAATTCTCAAATTGACACACCCGGTCTCATGTTTTATACAAAGGTACTGTAGTAAAAATTTTCTATTTAGATATCTATTGAAATGCCAGTTTATATAACTAAAATAAATAAAATTCTAAATAATGAAACTAAAGTCTTAGTTATTGAAAGCTTCATAGAATTATATTTCAGTATTTACAAAAAATCATTCAACACTAACATAAATATATATTTTAATTTATTTCTAGTCTGGAAGTGTTCCTCATATATCTCGTGAAGTTTTTCAAATGATTATACCTGATGATCAAGTGTTATTTAATTTCCCATTACCTACTCATTATGGATTTTTCAAACCAATAGAAAAATTAAACAAGAGCTTAGTTAGTTTTGTTGGCTTAAAGGTATATAAATTTTTACTATTTGTGTGTGAAAGGTATATAAAATACAGAAAAGTAATTTTTTTTATATTTATCTTAGAAAAAAAAATTGGTATAAATGAGTATGAATAAATTTTATTTTTTTGACTAAAAATCAAACTCACTTATTTATTTAATTTAAAATATTTAAAAAACATGTTTTTTTGTATTGAAATTATAAAGATAGCTACCCAAACTATAAAAAAAATAATTCTGATTTTTAACCTGTACCCTTCATGTATTCATCTTATTTTTTAATTATATCTCAAGACTTGATTCTTAAGTAAGAACAAAACTTTTTACATTTATAAATAGAGTTATATTACTAACCATGAGTCAAAAAATAATAAATGGCTGAAAATAAGCAAGCTGTTCATAACAAGAAAATTTTCATTAATAGTATTTTAAGTATACAGATTATTCTACCAGGTTTTAACATCTGAAATAACTTTTTATCTGGTGAATATTTTGAAATATTTTTTTTTTTAATAATTTTATAGTTTTAGACGATGTTAAAAGCATAAAATAAAGCAAAATATTCATTATATCAAAAGTTACCAAAATTTTCAAAACCTGGAAGGATACTCTGTATAATAATTTTTTGCCAAAGTGTGTCAGAGATATTTGTTATTTCAACACTTTCTTGATTGGGTGGATTAGATTAAAAATATTTTATCAAAATGATATCAAGAAAAAGTATTTTGAGTAGACTTGATATTTCATATAATAATTACCTTAAATAAATTCATCTCACTCATATTTTCTTATTAGTTATAAATCATAAAATAACCGAGTACAATAATACAACAATCCATGAAAGCTTGATTAAGTCTATTTCATCACATCTCATGCGTAGGTACTTGCTATATTCAACACTTTTTGCTCGGGATTTAATTTTACAACCATAATTCTGTCACTTTTCCTAACCACTTCAAATACTTTACTTTTCATCTACTCATTCATTATTATCCTTGTACCATACTTGTGCAAATAGCCGTCAAAGTTAAAAATTCATTAAATATTAATAATAAATGAATTTAAATTTATTAAATATTTTTTATATATTACACTTATATATCATAAAACTTGTGATCAGGATATAAATAAGGAAATAAGAGTTCATTTTTCTTTTGGATTAATCCACCAATTTCTTAAAATTAAACACTGTCTACAGATTTAAACCAAAGCGTTTCTTGTCGCATCTATGCCAAGTCCTCACTGTGCTGCTACCCCACTTTATTACTGCTTTTTATTAAAATAAATATTAAAAAATGTGTTTTTAATGTAGTTTATATATAAAAAAATTATTAAAAAAAGATAGGAAAATAAATATTGGATGAAAAGTTATATGAGTGTAAATTAGTTTTGTTTTATTCAAATTAATGTTTTACTTAATTAAAATCATTTTTAGGGTTATTCCTCATTTTGTTCTATTAGAGACTACACTACAAACAATATTACTGGTTATAATAAAAAGGATCAAGTTGCTATTAAAACTAAAGCTGGAAATCAATTGATAAATTATGAAAAGTAAACTTAATTATTATTAAATATGTAGCTTCTTTTAATTACTTAAATTAATAATTACTAGAGGTTAATATTGTTTTAAATTTTATGCCTTTAATAACCAATAATTAATAATATACATTTTGCACAACTTAATTAATAGNAGGTTTTAGTTTAAAAAAAAATTATGTTGATTTGTTGATTTTTGAAAAAGTTATGGAAGTTTTAAGAAAAAAAAGTGAAAAAAATGACAAAATTTGTCGATTTTTAAATTTGTAATTTTTTTGGATATTTCCCCCATTTGCGGGGAACGAGGGAAAATTTTTAAATTTTTAAGGGTAATGTCTTCAACTAGATACAATTTGTGATCTTTTGACGTATTGTTAAAAGAAATCGGTCCAGTGAGAGCTGAGAAAAAGTAGTGACAGACACAAAAAAAAATAAAAAAAAAAATAAACACATCATGATAAAATTAATACCTTCTCAGCTTCGCATCGAAGCTAAAAATTATTAAAAAAAGATAGGAAAATAAATATTGGATGAAAAGTTATATGAGTGTAAATTAGTTTTGTTTTATTCAAATTAATGTTTTACTTAATTAAAATCATTTTTAGGGTTATTCCTCATTTTGTTCTATTAGAGACTACACTACAAACAATATTACTGGTTATAATAAAAAGGATCAAGTTGCTATTAAAACTAAAGCTGGAAATCAATTGATAAATTATGAAAAGTAAACTTAATTATTATTAAATATGTAGCTTCTTTTAATTACTTAAATTAATAATTACTAGAGGTTAATATTGTTTTAAATTTTATGCCTTTAATAACCAATAATTAATAATATACATTTTGCACAACTTAATTAATAGTTTTATATTTAAATGTTGTATTAACTTCATAGTAAATTCAGTTTTAATTATAAAGAGAATCAGGGATGGATACATTTAAATGTTAAAAATTTATAAAAAAAAATTGTTGTAATTTATATCGTTTTTATTATATTACTATTTAAAAAATGAAAACAATTTAAATACTTGGGACATAGTATAATAATCAGTGATTTGGACTTCATGAATTTATAAAGTTTATTTTAATTTTCCTGAGTACATCAATGATAAGTAGATATTTATGTTAGAAAGAAAGAAAAAAGCAATTTACAATATAAATAAAAATATATTTATGTTAGTTTTCCTAAACAATTAAGAGTATATATTAATTAGAAAACTATCCCTTGTACATACAAGAATAAATTTTGATTTGAAGTTAACTGGTTTGAAACGAACCCTGTTGTTAACCAAAGATAGAACTAATTAATTTAATTTATGAAAAATATTTTATATATTTTTTACAAAACAATTTTATAGGTATATGCATTTCATGGAAGCCTTCAAACCAAGTTTGTATGTTACCCTCTGTGTTTCTGAAACTGATATGAATAGTTCACCATCATCAATAGAAAAGTCTGTAAACTTGACAAATAGAATTTTTGAACAAAGTTTAAAGTATCACAACGAATCCAAGGTGTTTAATTAAATATATAATATCAATAATTTTAAATTAAACAATCTTGTGACTTCAATGTTTAAAAAATACTGTATTTTTCATTACAATCCTATTTTTTCAGATTAACACGTTGATGGACAAAATTATATATTATTGTTAGGACAGTAATATTCAAATTTGACGTTTGGGGTCACTTTTAAATATTACTGCCATAACAGTGGTATAAAAACTATTCTAAAAATGTCATTACTAATATAGCAATAATATTTTCAATGATTTCTTATAAAGAAGGAAGTTGTTCTGACCCCATGCATCTCATAAAACCAGTATTTGTAAAATATCATGTTATTAATTGTTCATCAACGTGTTAATCAATTAATTATAATAATTAATTAAGTTAAAATTATTATATTGTTTAAAAGTAATTTCATTTAATTGTTGCATATCATAGAGCGGCAATGAGATCAGGTTTTTAAAAAATGTGACAACCTTACCATACAATATTGTTTTAAAATGAAAAAAAGATTATCAAGGTTAATCAACTTTAAAGATACAGTATAAAAGGGTTGAAATTTGGATTTAAGGGATAATTTCCTAATTTTATTTGTATTTTTCTCACAAAAGAACTTATGATAAAAAAATTAGGGTACAATTTCTTTATCAAGCGATTTACTACAAAAATATTACAATAACTTGTAATGATATAACAAATTTCACCAAAAATAATTTATATTAGCAGTAAAATAAACAATTAAAACAATTTGAAATTTTCTTTCTTTATAGATATATTCAACAAGCGGTTCATTCTAATTTTGTTATATATGAAAGTTATTTGTTATTAAATTTTTCTAAAAATTGAATTTCATAATTTTTTTTTTTTGTTAATCACTTTTAATACTAGTGTGACACTAAAATGTAATTTTTACTGATTTTTGGGCACATAGAACGTTTGATATTTTCACTCTTCAAATTATTAAAAAATATATGACTTATTGATACAATTTTATGTATTATAAACATATAGATTAAATTGATAATTTTGCTATATATTGATGTTTAAATACTAATTAGTTTGGTTATATTTTTCCAGATACTACAAAAAAGTGGCATAATAGCTCCCATTCAGGGTGGATATAGTATTAGCGAAAGAATTCGATCTGCTGAATTTCTCTCTCAATTTGACGTATTTGGATATCTTTTAGACGGGTTTGCAAATGATGGTTCTTCAATTGAATTTATTACCAAAGATATGCTGCAACCTATTATTGACAAAACGCTAGTTAGTCATCATTTTACTTCATTAAAAAACATTATTTAAAAAAGTGTTAGATTGAAAAATATTATTTTTAAAATAAAATAGAAATTAAGTTATTGTTTCAAAATAAATTTATAAAGGATATCGTTACTATTAATAAAATAAAAAATATAATGTAAATTTATTATTTTTAGTTGAATTTTATTGCTCTTTTTATAATGTTTTTCTATTATTACTTTAAACATTGATTTAATAGAATTTTAAGATTCTTCGCTCTGTTTTTCACTTACAATTTTATTGTATTTTCTAAATATTGGCTTAAATATAATATAAAAAGTTAATACAAATAAATGCTTGAGCTTATTAGTGTAAGAATAGAAAATATCACTTTTTTGTGGTAATACTTAACAAAGTTTGTAAAAAATGTGACATGGGCTTTCTTGCATTAAGCTAAATATCATTATCATTATCTTTAATATTATTATCATATAGTTTTATTTTATGACTATGTTGGAATTAAATTTGAAATATTCAGTTGTCATAAATAATTAAATTATAGCAACAATCTATTATTCATAAAATTTTATATAAAACAAAAGTAATTAAAATAAATAAGGATTAGAGTGTTTAATTATGAATTTTTATCTTTTAAATTTACAATATTAACATTTTTTGTTTAATATCTATAATTTTCTCTTTTTAATAGTTTATTTTATTTTAATCTTCTAGGAACAATTACCAAATGAAAAAATTAAAATAATATGTGGTGCTTGGAGTCCTAGTGTTGTTATTGATTTGATAAATAGTGGAATAGATTTATTTGATACATCTTTACCCTATTTATTAGCTGAGAGAGGTTCTGCCTTAGTTTTTGATTATAAACTAGTATATAAGTAAGTAGCATTATTTCATAATTTAAAAAATATATATATATATTTATTGAGTTATTTATTTAAACATGATACCATCAATTTTTTTCATAAATATTGTCGTATACTCTAGGTATATAATTCATTGGTAAAAATTAATAACACTAACTTCTCACTGTGAAACTTTTGTTAATAGAACAACAATCTTTTTAAGATAAGTCTTTAACAAAGGGAAGCTTCATAACAAATTCAAGGTACTCATTGTACTACTAATAGTTGTGTAGTTCTCAGTATCAGTAATAAACAGAATTCTGATATAAAAACAGACTAATCAGTCTAAGATTTATTATAACAAGTTAATTAGTTTATACAAGCAAGCACTAATAAGAACCCAAGATAGAGTATTCATAATTATTTACTACTGTAAAATCACTACTTAACCCTGGTCGTGATGAATACAAACAAAAGATTAATGTTAAAAAGATTATAAATGATATTAATATTATTAAATAATTATAAATAAACAGGATTTTGTATTTTCAATTAAAAATACAACAAGATTCAGTAATATTCTATTAAAAAAACAAAACTTAAGTACAATTACAAAATAATGTGTTAACAGAAATTCAAGTGATGTATTAGAAAAAAATTCTTTGAAACAAATTATTGTTACTTCGGGTATTATGTAAACAATATTAAAATATTCAATAATTTCTGAATAAATGTGTGTTATAGAACGTGTATTACAATCATAAAATATTGCTGTATTAAAGTAAATTATTGAAATTTCTAAAAAAAAAAGTATGTCTCTAGAAAATTAATTGATTAAATTGATAGCTTAACATTAATTGTTTTTTCAATTTATACATAAAACTTGTTATAAAAATTTTAATTATTTGCCAACTAATTAATGTAGCAACATTTTACCAAAAATTTTCAGACTAAAATAATTTAAAGATTCTTCATGTTTTTAGCTTTATAATTTTTTATAAATCAATTAATCATAAATTTTGATGATTTAAGTCTACATTTTAATAATAGAATAATGACATTTTTAGTTTTGATACGAAGCTAAAAAGTATTAATTTTACTATGATGCGTTTTTTTTTTTTAATTTAAAAATACCATGGACTGAATTTAGTTTTAATATTTCTTTAGGGAAAATAAAAACTACCATAATCTAAAACTTTTAATATAGTTGAGTCTTGTAATAATGTGTAAATTGGTTTACACATTATTAAAATTGGTAGAAAATACCTTATCCACTAATTTCAATTGAAACGGTTTTTATTTTTGAAAAATCATTTGTAAGTTATTGTTCTAATTAATTAAGAAATAATATTTTAACTTATTATAAATTATTTTGTTGGATTAATATTATTTTTTTCTTATAATAAAAAATTTCTAATGTTTTAATGTAATTTATAATTTGTGAGAATTGCAAAAATATATTACATTTAAGATTAATACAGTAAAGATAATCATTTAAAAATATATTTAATTGAACTGAATAATATGTTTTTAATACTATTTAAGAGGTAATATAAAATAATTTAAAATACTATTGACATAGTCAATATTTCTTATTATTACAATTATAAAATTATATAAAATGTATTATTTCATATAATCTGTGTTATAATATAGTCTTTGGTAATTAATTTTTTTTTTTTTTTAATAGGGATAACTTGATAAGTATGAACATTTTAAATAATAATGATAAAATGAATCAAGATCATATTGATAAAACGTATTATGAAATGAATTTGAGAAATGAAAGGTATTTACAATTTTAAAGACTTCTATTATTATTAAAGAACCATGTGACTTAGTCAGAAAATTAGAAGTGTGTTGTGCTAATTGATACAAGCTCAATTATTATTGTTATTGTAATAATAATTATTAATTTTAACTTAAATTATAATTTTTTTAATTTAGACATTTTGAAAGCCTAATACCAATAAAAGATACATGTATTTGTTTGGCTTGTAAAAAACACACAAGATCTTATATTCATCATCTACTTCAATCGAAAGAAATGCTGGGCTCTTTATTGTTAACTATGTGAGTTTCACAAAATTATCAAAATATTATATTTTACACTTAAAATTTTTCTTTTTTTAGACATAATCTTCATTATTACTATCAGTTCTTCAATGATATTCGTGAAGTATTAAAAAAGAGCCAAAACTATGTCACTGTTTGTCCTATTAATTGATAAGATAATTAAACTTATAAAAACAGATTTTTTCAAAAGTTTTTTCCTAACTTCAAAAAAAAAAAATTTTTAATTTAATTTTATTTATTTGGAGTTATGTACTTTGGAAGCTTATGAAGCTCTTGAAGCTTATGTAGCTTCAATTGATGTGGTGACTAAGTCTAATACTATCAACTAATAAATGCATATATTAAAAGTTAATTCAAACTTGAAAGAATTTTTTGATAAAATTTAGAGTTTTAATAGACAATTATGATCACATATATGTTGCTAGACTTATTTAAAAGGCTAAGTTATGATATATAAAATAAGTTACACTTGTAATGAGTACATTCATGCTAAAAAAATGGATATACAAAATTAATAGCGCAGAGTGGAAGTTGCCTAGTTTGGACAAGTATAGAATTTAACTGACAGTGACCACTATCATATGAAACACTTCAAAGCAAATCTGTAAATAGTGTATAATTTTTAGAAATTGGTGGATTATTCCAAAAGCAACATTAACTCCTATTTCTTTAATTATATCCCGATTAGTAGTTCTTTGATTCATAAGTTTAATATATGAATAATATTTAGTAATTTATAATTTTAATTATAGTTATAAATCTTAGTATATAATTATAATTTAATATTGTAAATTTTACTAAAAAATTAAAAAATAAGTAGTTGTATATTTCATTACTATGAAAAAAAATTGAAGTGCTTAATACAAAACTTTTCAGAAAATAATTTGATGTACAAGAAATTTTAATCAACGACAAATTTTTTTTTTTTCAAACCAATTTTTCGTACTGATTTAAAATCAGTAATTAGATTTTTTCTATCAATTTTACTTTTGGGATACTACTATTTAGTAAAAAACAATATATACATATAAAAAAAATAACCAAAAGATTCTAGGTTAAAATGAAATTCAACATCACAGTAAACAAATCCATAGATGTAACTAGTCTCGGAATATTTCTGAATATTAGTATATTGTTATATATAACTTCATAGAATATAGTTCTAAATATTACAATTATACAAAATAATATTTTTTTGTTTAACTTGGGGACCGTTTACATATAGAATAAATTCATCGGGACTATTTTTTTTTTAACTTATAGTATGCAACATAAGCTTTAATTTAACAAATATATAATGCTCGTAGAATTTCAGGTGCACTTTCAAAATGTAAACTGAAAAAGTTCTATATTCGTATGTTATATAAAAAGTTTGTATGTTTCAAATTTTGAACCCCTGCATTAACGGAAATATATCAATTAAAAAAAAAATGTATGAAAGGGGTATACAGAGTGTTCAGTAATTAAGGAAACAGGTAAATTGTTACAAACAATGAGAACAATAGAAACTTATTTCCTTACTTACTGAACACTATATATTAAAAAGTCATAAAAATTATAATTGAAAAGATAAAAATAAAATCGAAAATTTTAACAAAAATTATATGGTTTTTTACAACGGCAGTTATTTGCACATAGGAAATAAGTTGTCGGGATAATTTGTTTTATTTATAATACGTAACACAAGCTTTACTTTTAAATATTTTTGTAACATTTAAAAAAGTTTAAATTTGCCTTGTGAGAAGGTAAAGGATGAGATTTATTAAAAATGCGTATCAAATAAAAGCAAAACACCTAAGGTAATTATATTAAAAAAAACTATTTTGATTCGTTCTTTTCTGAAATGGAAAAGGAATGGCAGTTTTAAGAAAAATAATGTCAAAATTCAATGATTTTAATAATAGTAATTTTTTTATGCATTTTCTCCATTTACAAGGAACGAGTGAATTTGTTCAACTTTCGAAGGCAATGTCTTCAACTAAATACGATTTGTGATCTTTTGACGTACCATTTAAAAAAAATAGCTTTAAGGTATTCTTGTTATGTCAAACTAACTAATTGTATTGTACAATATTGGGGATAGAACTAAACCCCCCCCCCAACTTTTGTCGTAGAGATTATTGTCGTTATTGTATAAAAGTAAATTTTTGGAAAAAGAAATATTAAGTTAGTAATGAAAATATATTAATATTTCTCTACTTATAAAAAAGAATTAAACAAACACAACTTATAAATACGTATTTAGTTAATAAATATCTTAATAAAATATTATTTTGGAAAAAAATTAAAAAAATATTTTAAATCCATAAAATATGTGAAACATGCCTCAAAAAGTAAAAAGAACCCAATTATATAAAAATATTCAATATATAATTTAGGTTTTGAATTTGTTGTAGTTTTAAATAAACAATTTGCGTCTAAGCACAAAAATAAGGCAAATAACGTCGTTTTCTTTTACTTAACATTGCATATCTAGGACTTTGTGTGACATTAAATAAGTCTCAAAAAATGAAAACACTGCAATCCTTGTAAACACAAATTTCTAGTTACGTCCATGTTTACATAGCGGAGTGTAAACCACTTGTAAAAGAAATGTCTAATTTGTAGATAATACTGGTAATTAAAAACACGATAATTAATGGAGAAAAACTATGGAATGTCATGAGCCAAATGGGAATACCAGCAAAATTAGTCAAAATGATAAGAGTATGTACATATGAGTGCAAAAGCAAAGTAAATTTTGGAGGAGAGGTATCAGAGGAGTTTCCAGTGACGACAAGACTCAGACATGGAGACGCCCTATCACCAGCTTTGTTTAATATTGCATTAGAATCAGTTATGCGAAAGGTACTAATCAAAACCAAAGGAATAAAAATGAGCAACAATAATGAATTAACCGTAGTAGCTTTCACTGATGATATAGTTCTTATAGCTGAAACAGAAAACGAATTGAGATATACAACTAGCATCCTACTAGATGAAGGTAAACAGATTGGTCTGAAAATAAATGAGTCAAAAACAAAGTATATGATATTTTCGAGACGAAGTCACAATACTAATTATTTAAAAGTTGATGAATACAACTTTGAAAGAGTACAGAGCTTCAAGTACCTAAGCACAGTGATCAATGAAAATGCTAATAGCCACGAAGAAGTTAAAAAACGACTTATGGCAGCAAATAGATACTACTATAGTCTAATGCCACTATTCAAATCAAAATACTACCAATAGTCTAAAATAACGTTATACAAAGTCATATTCAAACCAATTGCTCTATATGCATGTGGTACATGGGCCATGACAAAATCAGACGAAGGAAAACTAGGAGTGTTTGAAAGAAAGATTTTAAGAAAAATCTTCGGTCCAAAGAGAAATAACAATGGAGAGTATATAATGAGAAACAACGAAGAATTGGATAATCTCTATAAGGAACCTGCCATTATTGGGTTTCTGAAGAGCACGAGAATAAGTTGGGCGGGACATGTATGGAAGTCAGAGGTAATGATTGGATCAATAACTAGATGGAAACTCGATACAAAGAGACCTCGAGGAAGCCTTAGACAAAGATGGGTGGATAGAGTACAAGAAGACTTGAAACTTCTGAACGTAAGGAACGCAGAAGAATTTGCAAATGATAGAGAGGGATGGAGACAATATGTTGTTGCGGCGATGGGCCTTAGAGGCCTATAAAAGCCCAGAAGAAGAATTAAAAACACGTGCGAGATTGATGCGCAACTCATTATCTCGTAAACCAGTGATAAATTAGGCTTACGTTATATGAGAAATTAAAACGATAATGGACTAGTTTATCATTTGCTCATAATTTGATAATAACAAAAGTTGTGAATTAGTGTCAAATATTTCTATGTTTGTAATAATTCCAAATAACACAAAATCAATGAGCAAAATTGTCAGCCTTTTTTTCAAAAATTCTTAAATTAAAAATATGAACCTAACCCAACCGGTTTTGTAGTTTCCGTTTGTAAGTAATGAAATAAATTCAGTTTTAAATACTGTAAAAATAACTATTTTCTTACAATATCAATTTTTCTTAAACTGTACACAACATTTCTCCGTAATACATTTATATTGCTAAATTATGATAGGGTTACTAAAACCATAATTTTAGCTATAGATATTTAAATAAATTACTTAATAACAATAATAATTCAGCAAGTATTCAAGATTTTCCTTGTTTTCTCGAAAGAGGTTTAAAAACATTTTCCCCTTATTTTGTTTGAAATTGATAATTATTACACAACAATAAAATTAGTAACTATTATTATCATGACTATGTATAAAATAAATATACAAAGTATTTAAATTATCGTTAACCACTAAATTTTTTCTAAAATAATAATTTTCGAAATATTTTTCTTTTTGTTTTGTTTAATATTATTTATATTATTCAAATATCAATTTATATATTCTTAAATATTTTTAGATTTATTCCTTATTCGTTTTAAAGATACCACTCTTATTTTTTTAATAGATTAAATGTTAAAAAATGATCACCCAGAAACACTGGACCATCCATCTGAGTATAAAAATCTATGTATACATTATGCTTATTATAATAAACAAGAAAAAAATTTAATTTGCTGACTATACTTTATAAATAGTTTTTTTGTAGATTGCGCTAGCCATCGCAACCCTCCGAGATCCTGATGTTTTATATGTTTTTAAAGATAAAATAGTTAATTAAATAAAATACTTTAATAAATAACAAATATTTCTTTTAATTAATAATAGTACTTTTATAAAAATAAATAATGATTTATATTAAAATGTTGACAAAAATTCCCTAACTTTTTATACAGAAAATTTGTCAACATTATCGTCAAACTTATGTTTGCTGTAATATTTATTTTTACTTAAAAAACTTTGTTTTCTACATATATTCCATGCCTTTAATCATTGACAAAAAATGTAACTTATCACTTTTGTGCCCTAAATCATCAATTTGTATTTTTGATAAATTCATACCCTATGAGCTATTTTTCTGGTCATATGCCTATCAAATCGTTTAGATAAACTAAACAATTTGAATTTTACAGGAGGTTTTAAATAAATACAATTTGATTTCTATTCAAAAAGTATTTAACTTTATATTTTTATTAAAAAAAGCCAGATATTTTTTGACACAGATTTCATAACTCTAATTTATTTTATTTTAATTTCATGGATTATGTTTTTTCAATATTAATATTTTATTTTTATATTCATTTAAGCTATTGATTGTTTTTTACGTATAAACAAATTATGTAAATAAAATGCTATATTTATCTATAAACGGCTCCAATTAACACAGACCTTAGTAATTGTATTGGTTGCAAAAATAATCTGTACATATACTTTGTTGCATTATTATTCTCTGAAAATTTAAATATTTTCAGAATTAAACCCAAACAAACCATGTTGATTTTTATTTTTTTATACACTTGTAAATAATTGTAGGATAACAATTATTTTAAAACTCACTTGTATTAAAGTTTGCACTATTGTACATAAAATTGCGCATGATACACTTGTTAATTCTACCACTGGGGTCGCTGTCGTACATCCATAATATTCTCTCCAGTTCGTATTCTACTACGCTCTAGAAAAGTGATACCACGAGACACGGTGTGCAAACAACAGACTACAGCTGAGTTGTGCATATTATTCAGTATAGCAAAAATGTTCGTCGGTCGTGTGTATTCAGATTGTTTTTTTTTACTATCTTATGAAATTGTATAAAATATATTTTTAAAAAAACAATAATATTTTATTGGATTCAGGTGAGATGATATATTTTTAATAAAATTTTTTTTTAATTATGACCTAAATAATTGTCATAGAAATTTTAAGTTGAATTTTTTTTTTTTTTTTTTAATTGGTGTATTCATCATACAATCATTTTGCTGATTTTGTTATTATTTTTATTAATATCATTAAATCATTTTTGTTCGTGAATCATTAGAATTAATTCATCTAATTGCACAACTAAGACCGCCTAGATATATTACAATATGCATTATTTTTTATTAATGAATACATGATTTCATTAATTTTTTTTCATTAATTTATTTTATTTAGTTTGTGATTATTATGTGATTGTTTGTCTCTTAATTAGTTACAAAAGCGCTATTAATTAAATGAAATTAACTCTATCACTCAATTTTTAGAATTTTTACATTGATAATTTAACTATAACGATATCTAGCGGTAACTTCAAGTAAGTTGAATTTGAAATTCGATTGAAAACTCCCTGATAATGAGTGCTACTTTGATGGTCGTTACAAAAATTTTATTGAAAACACTTATCATTTCTTAAAAGTAACAAGAAAACAGCATCTATTTAGCTCAGTTGGAAACGAGTCGTGCCTCGTTACGAAGGTACGAGAGTTCAATATCGTTGCGCTGAACTAAGTAAGATTTCCTTCTGTTCTTTTGAACACAAGCATAGCTTTTTAAAAGGAACGCCTAAAATAAATGTATAATAATAATAAAATTTCCTAATTTTAACAAATTTCTGTACATCTTGAAAAATTTATGGCAAAATTAGATTAAAACTAAAGTTTGTGTTGATACAGCAATTATCAATTAAGCATTATCTGGGGAGTCTACAGGGACTTATATCTCCTAAAATCTGCTATATAAATATATGTTACCCAAAAAATTATCACAATGATATATATTTATATAAAGAAATATTTTTTACATTGGAGCAAAATCGCAATTAAGGAGATATTTTGGTTAAATTATTAGATTTCGCTATTATTTTAAAACTTAATATAAGAAAAGACAAATAATTTTATTTATAAATATTGAGTTTGGCGCAGTTTCAATAAAATTTTTGTAGGGACTCATTATTTGTAATTTCCCCTCCATACATATTTTTTATATAATCAGAGATCGTAAGAATTACATATGTCATTTTCTGAAATTGTGGAAGGGCTAATTTTGAAATTAAGGGGATAAGCCCCTTTAAGTCTCGCTAATTTTCATCTATGCAATATCTTTAGTGTAATATGTATATTTTAAACATACTTACAGCGAAGATTGAATTTTGTAATGTGGGGGCCCTGGGTTCATCAATAAACTTTTATTATAGTTAATATTTCATAAGCTTTATAAACTAATATATAATATATATTATTTATGTATTGTGGTATCCTAGACCAAAAATTCATGATTTATTTTTGAATATTTTATATTAATAAAAAATACCATTAAATCAAATATAAAATGTTCGACTACTCAAAAGAAAAATTAATTTAATTTAATTTTCAAGATTTTTTAATAAAAATTTAAAAACTATCTGCAATGAATGTCTGTTTTAACATATTTTAATAATAATAATATATTTAATTATTTATTTATGAAAATTTGTATCATTTTAATCATACATATCATGTATTACATTTGTTTTGTGCTTATAGAAATCCTATGAATCCAATAAAATATATAATAACGTAAAAATAATACTTGTTGAATTTAAATGGAATTATAAAATTTTATTACTTTATATAATTGCACAATGCGTCAAGAGATATCGTTATAAATTTTATAAGTGCATATTTAATTATCGAATACTCCCAAAGAAGTAGATAAATTTTCAAAACTTTAATCGGCGTATTTTACAATCGCCAAATGAATAATAAACAACTATTATATATCAATGGTAAAATTTGATTTATTATAAAAAAAAAAATAGTTTACATTAACTCTAATAACGATATATAATTTAAAATAAATCCCGAGTAATATTTAAAAATACAATAAACACATTTTTTTACCAAAGAATAATTAAATTAAAAGCATCTAGAAGCTATTTTCAAAGCCGTCGCTATCGTAATTTTCGGAGAAAATCGTATTTGATATTTATAATATTAGTTATATACTCTTATTATATAAAATATCGAATATTAAAATATGTAATTATTTACATATAAATATAATTTAAATAATTAGGGTTGCCTTTAATATATTTGATTAGCCAGTTCATTTCCCTCGCATCCCGTTTTAGCTTCGATGCGAAGCTGAGAAGGTATTGGTTTTACTATGATGTTTTAGCTTCGATGCGAAGCTGAGAAGGTATTTTTTTTTATTTTTTTTTTTTTGTGTCTATTACCACTTTTTCTCAGCTCTCACCGAACGGATTTCTTTCAACGATACGTCAAAAGATCACAAATCGTATTTAGTCGAAAACATTACTCTTAAAAATTGAAAAAATTTCCCTCGTTCCCCGTAAATGGGGGAAACCTCCAAAAAAATTACAAATTAAAATATCGCTAATTTTCGAAATTTTTTCAATTTTTTTTACTAAAAACTGCCGTAACTTTTTCAAAAATAAACATATCAATATAATTTTTTTTATAAATGCTTGATGTCTTTACCTATCATTTGGTATATTTTTTTTGTAAATTTGACTCTTTATCTGCCCAGAGGGGGGGTTTTAAAATGACAACTTTTTCACAAAAAATTAATTTTTTTAACTTAAATTTTGAAAATGTTCCGGAAGGTCTGACACTTTTATATATATCTTAAATTAAAGCTAATGTAATATACTTTAAAATGGTAAAAAAAAATTTCGGACTTTATTTTATCTTCATGGTGAAAACAGACATTAAACTTAATAAAAAAAATACGATTTTTGTAAAAAAATTCTTTTTTATATTTTTAACTTTATAATGCTATAACTTTTTGAAAGATGTATGGATCAATATAATTCTTTTTTTTGTAGATGCATGATGTCTTTACCTATCATTTGGTATATTTTTTTTATAAATCTGACTTTTTACCTGCCTACAGGGGGGGATTCAAAATGACAACTTTTTCACAAAAAATTGACTTTTTCAACTTAAATTTTGAAAGTGTTCCGGAAAGTCTGACACTTTTATATATATCTTAAATTAAAGCTAATGTAATATACTTTATTATGGAAAAAAAAAATTTCGGACTTTATTTTATCTTCAAGGTGAAAATGGCTACCAAATGCTATTATTGTGTGAAAATTCTCAATTTTATTTTTTACATTTTTAACATTATAATGCTATAACTTATTGAAAAGTGTATTGATCAATATAATTTTTTTATGGGAAATACTATTTTCTAATAATCTCTTTTTTATTCGACATACTTTGTCTTAATCAGGATATTAATAAGGAACTAGCAGATCAGGTAGCTTTTGGAATAATACACCAATTTTTAAAATTTAAACACTATCTAAAGATTTGCATCGAAGCGTTTATTTTTGATAGTGATTTTAATCACTGTCAGATATCATTATACTTGATCCAACTATGTCACGTCACCACTGTTCCGCGACCTCCTTGTGCTGGGTTTTTTTTTTACTTAAAACTGCTATAACTTTTTCAAAAATGATCAAATAAATATAACTTTTTTTTTTATTATTGATACCACAGATATTTACCTATCATTTTGTATATTTTTTTTATAATACTTACTATACAAAAATCCATAAAATCAGCTATTTAACAAAAATTATATGATTTCTGACTTTAAAGTCCAATAACTCGTAGAATCGAGATTTTGTATAATTTTTCTTTTTTAAGCTTTAATTTAATAAAAAATTTAAAAAGTTAGACTTTTTGGAACATTATATAAAGTTAGTGTAATGATTATGCCCTCTAGTGCTTGGGTAAATAAGTTGGCTAAAAGAAAGTTAAATGTTTAAAAATTTGTGAAAATTACTGTAGAAAAGTATAATAGAAACTTCTACAGTATTCAAATATTCTTCAACATTTTGTATAATACAACCACCTTTTCCTGATTACGGCACTAATTCACAAAAACACGGCAAAGAAAAACCAATTAAAAATTAATAATTAATAACATTTTAATTATAAAAAAATAATTTTTAATTTTTAGATTTATTATTTGTTTATCAATAAGCTAACGTATAAAAATTATGAAATCAATAAATAAAAATGTCAGGTTAAGAAGGGAACTTGGACTCTTCAGTGCAGTAAGCCTTATAATAAGTGTGATGTTGGGTAAGTAAAGTTTTATAATTATCTCAAATTAATATTAATATTCCTAGTTTTTTGTCGATGCGGTCATTTAAAATGTAAACAAATTTTTTTCTATCATTTACAACTGTAGCATTAATAATTTCTATATTTTTTTAGGATCCGGAATATTTGTTTCGCCTGCAAATGTATTAAGGAATACTGGTTCCATTGGAATGTGTCTAGTTATTTGGACACTTTGTGGACTTCTATCTTTATTAGGTAAAGTAATTTTTTTAATACAAAGTATGAATTAAATTCATCACTTATTATGTTAATTTTAGGAGCCCTTTCGTATTCGGAATTAGGTTCCATAGTTAGTAAATCAGGTGGTGAATTCAGCTTTTATCAATATGCTTTTGCTGATATGCATAAATTCTGGGGTCCATTAGTTAGTTTTGTATATTCATGGGTCGCAATAATGTATGTGCGACCAGCAGAAGTAGCTATAATAATATTAACTTTTGCTGAGTACTTTATTCGTCCAATTAGTTTAGTTATGTTAATTGATCCAAATAATGAAGTATTATTAAATAAAATTGTCAGCATACTAGCATTAGGTAAGTAAATTTTTTATTAAACTATAGCTAATGACTATTTAATTATATTTATTTATAGGTGTTATTACTATGATCAATTATAACAGTGTTAAATGTTTTATTAAAGTTCAAAATATTTTTACGATTTGTAAAATTATAGCATGCATTTTTGTGATCATCGGTGGTTTTTATCAAATTTATTTAGGTAACTTTTTAATATTTAATAGTTTCATACGATCCTAATATTTTTGCAGAAGAGTGAATTCTGAGACTTAAAATTCTTATATGTATTCAAATATACCATAGGTTAAACATTTTTTACTTCTTTACTACAGCTCAATTATCGATTATATTGTAATATTTTTGGATTTTATAGCTACATTGAGTAAATAGAAATTAGACTATTAATCTGAGAAATAAAATAATTACTTTAAGTTATTATAAAAAACTCACCACAGTGTTGACGCGACATAGTTAGAACAATTATAGATAATATTTGTCATTAAAACCCTTATCATAAAAAGGTTTCGATGGAAAACTGTAGATAATGTTTCATTTTTAAAAGGAATTGTTGAATTTTTCCAACATCAGCATCAACTCATATTTTCTTAATTATACCTCGATTACATAATTAATGATTTGTAAGTATAAGATATAAATAAATTTAGTATGAAATTAAATTCAACAATTTTTTGTAGTAATTTTTACGGTAAAATCATAAAAAAAGAAAAAAAAATCCGATCAACTCTACCTATATACGGGAAAATGGTTTGATTTAAAAAAAAGTATAACAAATGATAAATATATTTATCGAGTACTTATAAAAAAATTGTACTGCGCCACACGTTTTTCATAATTTTAAAGTTGAAAGTATAAAATCTAAAATTTTAATACAATAATAGTTTTTTAACTACAGCAACTTTTTTGCACATTTAAGATAAGTTGGCAGACAATTTTTTTTTTACTTATAGTGAATAATATAAATTTTATTTTAACATATAATTATTTTAAAAATGTTTTGACAGTTATAAGTAAAAAAGGTTTTAAAAAATTATCAACTCTAAAAGTCGTAATTTTTTGGGGGCATTTTGCCAATTAATGTATATTAAGATCTTATGAAATGTTTTCATTATCTTAAACTATATCTATGTAGGAATGAAATTACAGAAAATGACTGAAATATAGATACTTATATCCTATCAATAAAAAAGGCGACCCAGCAATCACCGATAATTATAGTGGAAAAAGGTTGTTTATTACCATTTACAGGATATTTTTCACTGGTATTGAAAAGTCAACCACCGACCACATATTTACAATTCGATTAGTTCCAGAAAAATTCATGAGTATGCCAAAGATATAGTATATATAATATAAATATAATATCACCTATACATGATATTTATTGACTATAAACAGGCATATAATATTATTAATAGGAGTAATCGACTTGTAAGACTTATTTGAAACTATAATTTGAAATCTTTTTGTGTGGAACATACAGAAATGGGAGAAACATCAGGACAGTTTGATATCAAGAATGAACTAAGTCAAGCTTAGATATTTAGTCTTGAAAATAACGAAAAGGAAATACAAAATTATAAAAATAAGAACGTGACACAATACACTGTTATCTCAAGATTATAATATTGTTAATCTTGGAGAATTTAAAGCTGATTTAATAACACTTACTCTTAAACTATTTAAAAGAAGTAAAATTTGGACTTTAAAATCAATTTTAATAAAACAAAATACATGATTATGACGAGAAAACTGACAACTGTGTAAAACCCATAGTAGGGACGATACTTATTTGAACAAGTTAAAGATTTTAGTTATCTGGAAGATAATATAAACCAAAGAAATAATAAATAGTAAAATAAAACTGAGACTATTCTCGACAAATAGAGGATATCATGTGATGAGAAATTAGCTGGCATCTAGACAACTATCAAAGGACACAATAACAATGCTGTACATTGCTTATCTACATTACATTGTTATGTATGTATATAAAACCTGGCTAACAACAAAAATGTTATTATTTGAGAGGGAAATACTCTAATAGATATGTGGACCTACAATAATTTCTGATACAGGACACTATAAAAGAGAGAAAAATGAAGATATCGAAAATATATACATAATTGTTTGAAAGCAAAAATACTGGATTGGGTAGTCATGTATGGAGGACAAATAAAATGTTGATATATACAAATAGTGCTAATTAACAAACGAGCGAAAAAAAACACGTGATAGATCTCAACGACGTTGGCTTGACAGAGTGAACAAAGATTTGGAAAGTCTAGGAACAGAGAGAAGACGTGAAAGATAAGAACATTGGGGAGAAGTGATGGAAGCGATAAAAAACCTATAGGCTTATAAGCCACTAAATATATAAATTTGCCTAAACATTATGCTTATTCGGTTAACTTTAATATTTTTAAACAATATATAGTATTCAGTAAGTAAGAAAACGAATCTCTGTTGTTCTGAATATTTGTAACAATTGACCTGTTCCTTATCTACTGAATACTCTGTATAATAAAAATAATACATTTTGTAATAAATCAAATATAAGAAAAAATGAGGGGAAAGATTGATTCACTATAATAGAAGAATAAATAAAATAATATTTTTCCCCTTCTATCGGCATGTATGTTTCAAGAAAGTTGAGAGCAGAAAAACCTAATTCAACTTAATCAGAGTGGAAAAATAGAGATAAAAAAGTGTTAATACTTGTACACCTATAGATACAAATAATCATTCTAATATGACAATTAATATTAATAATGCACTTACCGTTTTACTTCTTGTGTAATAGTGCTTTCACTCAAAATATATTATTTACATTTTGGAAAATATAATAAATATTAACACAAAATATATATTTATTGTTAATATTAAAAGAATGCATTGATCGCAATTAATACTTAATAATTCATTTAAACAAGTGCATCGAGAGCAGGGTGTCTGGTATCACTTATGACTACATCACGGACCGAAGTCATACCAGGTACTGAGCCTACTAATGACGTTTTATTTAATAAAGTGACGAAAAACAGCATTTTTTTACGTAACATATTTTACTATCTCAGTTTCTTAATACTTCGTTAACGCTGCTTGTATTTATTTATTTATCAATGTTATTAATTAGTATTTAGTAGTCTTGATTAAAATAATATGTTTGTATATAAATAAATTTTTAAATAGTTGTTGAACTGTTAAAAAATAAAAAGACACGCGAAAGAAGTGAAACTCCTATTATTTAAAATTTAAATTAATGTAATTCATTAATATTTTCTTTTAAATTTGAATAATTTTTTTCTAGTTCGAGATAAAACAACAACCTTAACCCAAACTTAATCCAACTCAACCTTAAAAATAACTTCGCGTTGATGCTTGAATTATAATATAATTTTTTGAAGTCTATTACTTGGCTTTATCATACCGTATAATTTTTTTATATTTACTGTATAATGAAGAAAATATAAAATATTGTAAAAATTTGTATTATAAATTCTCAATTACATAATGCATAAAAATATATTTAATAATTGTGTTCCACATATGATAAATTTTAAATGTGTTGGAAAAAAAATTATCACCAATTTAATAGCCGAAGATATAAGAAAAAAGATAATTTATTTATTTTTATAAATATCTTCAAACAATTTTTACATGTTCGTAATATTTAAAAACAATATATTTTTAAATGTTTTATGTTACACAATTAATCATAAAATTATAAAAGGATTCAGTAAGTAAAGAGACAAGTTTCTATTGTTCTTATTATTTGTAACAATTGACCTGTTTCCTTACTTATTGAACACTCTGCATATTAAATTATGAAACATAAGCTAAATAAATAAATGCTCTTTTTTATAAATAAAATCATCAATAACATCCTAAATAAGGCTTATTTGTAAATATTTTCACGGTCTAGATGCTGCAGAGGCACAAATGTGTATCATGTCGTATAGACGTTAGTTCAAATCACATTTACATATAAAAATATTGGCATTTATTTTGTTAGTATAACAATATATAGTAAGTTAAATATTCAATATAATATACTTAAATTTATTTATAATATTACGGAACAAGGGTACAAATTACCAACATGTTTTATACATAATACAAAAATTATTACTAACAATTAAAAATATAAAATATAACTTTTAATATAAAAACTTAGACAAAATTTATTTTTGATATTAAATGGAAATATTGATTCCTCATATTTATTAAATAAAATAGTTCTAAATGTATAATGTATATATCTAAGGAAAATTGTCTTGTTTTTAACTATAGTTACCATGAGCTAATTAATCGAATATTAAGAACTTGTATAAATTATAACACATATTTATTTTTTTTATAGTATATAGTTTTTTTTTAATATTATATAGTTTATTATTAAGTTTATGATAAATCAATAGTTTAATTTTTGTCTACGAAATGAAAAAATTAAAATTATATTTTTAACTATTATTATTTTTATTATCATTTTTTTTTCATTTTACAAAAGTTAATGTGCAACTAGTAGTTTACTAACATCAAAATAAATATAAATAAATTCAATAAAAAAAAAGATTAAACTTATTGCGTAACATATTTATTAAGTATAACTTAAAACTATTTGGCGAAGAAGTAATAAATGGACCAATGTTTAGTTGATTAACAGATGACATACCTCTTGGTAATTGTGTATTAAATGAATAGTTATTTGATCAAGGTGATAAATGTAACAACTTTTAAACAAGTTTAGCGACCAGAAACTTAAAAGCTCAACTACTCAATAAAATTAGGACAATCAATTAAACAATTCAATAATTTAAATAAAAATAACATATCAAATCTCAAATTTGGTTTTCCAAGTGATTCATGGATTCGTGGAAGTGTGAGGAGTTTTTGCTATTTTTAATTTGGAACAAAGAAAGCGAGGACATGGGACTCATTATTATTATTTTTTTGAGATTTCACCTTTCAAGATCATATTATTGAAAAGTAGTCTAGACATGATCTTACAAAAGATGAGTAAATGATTTTCAAATCTTTTTATTTGAGTCGTCATCCCTCTCTCAGGTGACGGACTAACCACCAGTCTGGGAGTATCAATGATTAAGAAACCTCCTTTGGGGAGTGCCACTATGGTCGTAATGGGCTTATAGAATGTAAATGAAACTCATTACATAGAATTAAAACCAAGCACACTTAAGACTATTAGGTTTCTAATAAAATTTAAGTGATCACTAAATGATAAAATTTGATTAAACCATTCACCAAGATCTTTATATGTGTGAACTTTTTGTAACGTATTCATTTCAATATACAGAGTGGCCCACCACTCACTGACAACTTAAATAACTTTTGATCCAGTTAATATTTTTAGTTGATTTTTTTTTTAAATAATAGTTATACGTTAGGTCTATAGCTATATCTCAATAATTAATTTTTTTACATTTTATTAAAAATATTAATTATTTTTAAATTTTAAATAAAATGTAAAAAAAAAATCTAAGATAGCTATTTTGTAGAGTAGAATTTAAGAAAAATTTTAGTAAAAAAATATCTTATTAATATTCAGTAGTAAATATTCTGTAGCGTTTTGAAGTTTGTGAAAATTTGAATTTTCATGTATTATTTTACGGTATTAAACATTGAAATACGTATTGAGAAAAGGACAGAAGAAAACGCTATCTTTTCAATATACTCTTCAATGAGAGTGATAAGTAATAATTGTCTTATCTAATTTCCTATCATGGTATTAATGCCAAGTTTGTAATGTATACACACATTATCATCATATGTATACACAGTAATCATGAAAAGATAGCGTTTTCTTCTGTCCTTTTCTCAATACGTATTTCAATGTTTAATACCGTAAAATAATACATGAAAATTCAAATTTTCACAAACTTCAAAACGCTACAAAATATTTACTACTGAATATTAATAAGATATCTTTTTACTAAAATTTTTCTTAAATACTACTCTACAAAATAGCTTTTTTAGGAAATACATGATTTTATATTTATTAATATTTTAAATAGATTTTATTACACGAAATTATTTTAAGTCATATGCAAATAACAACATTGCTGAATTTGTGAATGTTATATTATTTATAAAAAACAAAAATAAGATAGGCGTTAAGTGTAATCCTTGTGGCACATATAAATGTACAAGACGTTTTCGTCAGAAAATTTTTTTTTTATATTTAACATATTGTTTGCGATTAGTAATGTAAATTTCTATTCAATATAATAACAGATCAGCAACACTAATATACTTCAACTCCTTTATTAGCAGAGAATAAAGAGACAAAACTACATGAAATGATTAATATAAATATATAGCTTTACTAAAAAAAGTGAATTATATAATAAAAATTGATCACTTGTGGCTAATTAGTTTAATAAAATTGAAACTATATTAAAAATAGTATTAATTTAAAAACTAAATAAAATTAAAAATATTTAACTCAAAAAGCCATAAAAAAATACTGAAAAATCGCGGATACGTATTTCGAAAACAATATTACCATTATCAATGCTAAACACATACCGAAATATGTAAATTAATTAGCTTAAAAAGTTTTAGAAGTATTTATTTTTCTTTTAAATAATAAGAACAGTATTTTTATTGAAAATTATAAAATTTCTCAGACTATTGAATGATATAATGTTTTGAATTTATCGCACTAAGTTTTTAAAATCTTATTTGTTTAATATCGCCCATGACTCATAGGCATAATTTTAGCGAAATTTTGTTTGGGAAGACTAATTAAATTTTTTCCCATTTCAAAAATATTTTTGTATAAAAATGCATGTAATTTTAATTATGTTTAAGGGGACTAGTAGAATTTAGTGAACTATATAGGGTAGTTGGTAATGTTATAAGATAATCTTGAGTAAATGAATATATAGAATCCAGTAAAACTTATGATGCAACAGCAATAAATAATTTTTTTTTTTTTAAGAAGATATTTCTTTAAAATGTTAATTTAAATTTATTTTTAGAAATTGTATCGATAATGTAAAATATAACTCTATCACAACGTAGATACAAAATATAATTTTTATAGTTAAAAGATCAAAAATATAAATCAAACAAAATTAAAGTTTTTCTTCCTAAAATAAAAGTCAATAATACATAAGAAAAAATACTTTAAAATTAAACTGACCAAGAGGTCATATTAAAGTGTCACAGTAGCCTAAAGGTATTTGTATTTACGACACCTTGGGTGTCGGATTTTAATCTCATATCGTGCCTCTTTTTTTAACATGTTTTTCGATACACTTTCGATGCCCAATAAATTTAATTTAAACCATTTTAAAGGGTCCCAAGTTAATATAAATTTGCCATAGGATTATATAGTAATGTAGAAAAATTTTTCGGTTTGGTTTAGGTAGGGAATAAACCCCCAAATATTATAACTTAGGTAGCAAGACATTTCTAAGTTTTCAAGTCAATTAATACAAATTTGTATTGGCTGATGATAGGAAAGGGTTCAATTTATGTCATTACAATTTTTTACATGCTTTATGTAAAACTTTCTTTTTTTAGATACCTATTTATTTTTATATCATATAAATTCAAGTAACAAACATTAAAAGTAACTATATTACATTGATTTGATTTTAACAATAAAAAGCTTTGAAACTAATATTTTCAGTAACTATAATTCATTTTAGTGAATGGTATATCCCCACTTGTNCTATATTACGTTGATTTTAACAATAAAAAGCTTTGAAACTAATATTTTCAGTAACTATAATTCATTTTAGTGAATGGTATATCCCCACTTGTCTCACCCAATTGGCGTCTATTTATGCATATACAGCATATAACAATACAGTAAAATGCACAATATAATATGTTGTACATTTTATGCAGAGTAATCTATTATTAAATCTTTATTTACAATATCGGTCATCGAAAAATTGAAATATTCGACGGTCTTCTAATACTATATTAAATTATGGTTATATTTTATGCAATCGAGAAATAATGTGCAAGTCAGTTCAATTTTCAAAAATTATTTTTCATCGACGTCTATTATTGTATTAGGTTCGGTATTATTAATATTACATTGCGGTAATCATTAGTTGGTGGAGTCAAGTACAAGCTGAGGCGAGTGTTTAGTAGGTTGGATTGTATCATAATTTGTATTTTTGTATAATGTTATTTTTAAAATAGATTTATGTTAATCCTGTAGAGAAAAGTCAGTGTTACCACCATAATTATTATTTGTTTAAAAATTGGTATAATTAAAAAATTTACGATATTTTAACTTAATATTAATAAAAACGAAATATGTATTATATAAAAATTCTAATATCAATAACTTTGTACAATCGTACAACTATTTTTAGTTAATTAAATATTATAAATATTTATTCAACAACAACAAAAACTCGAAGATATTTTCGTAATTTCGAATTTTCTAAGTAAAATTATCATTCACTTGTAATAAACGAATTTCTAAAGATCTTATAAAATAAGTACCATTAATACTCAAATTTTTATGTTCAAATACAAGCGCTCATTCAAATTTCAGTAGAAAAAGTTACGTACTTAAAACTAATATTTAGCATGAAAAGATTTTGTTTTATTTGTCCTTTCCTCATTTCATATTTTAATTTTGGATATCATAAAAAACTCACAAAGTTTTAAATACTGCTTTTCAATTCACAACTGATTTACACAACTTTTTTAATTTAATTTTGGAACATGTTCCGGAAATACTACGTTCTTTAAATATATGTTAAATTAAAGGTTATGAAATATACTTAAATATGAAAAAAATGTCAAATTATGGATTGTCTACATGGTAAAAATAGCTACCGTATTCAAAAATAAGCTATTTATGTGTTATATTTCTCATTTTTTTTTTTAAATTAGTAATAATATCAAAACTGAGAAGTGATAAAAAGAGTCTAGTTTTAGATTTAAAAAAAGTGTGAAAATTTGATTTAGAAAAGTAATTTTTTATTCCGATGTAGGTTCCTAGTATACCAATGTATTCATAAATAAATAAAAAAAAATTTATAAAATACTACCTTAAGTAACCCAACTAAGCCCTTTAATCTTTTTACATATTTATCATAGAAGTAACGAAATATACTACTTTATCATTTTTTTATTATTTTAAATCATTAAATATTAATTTCATATTATATTTCATGCTATAATAAATATTTTTTCATAAATTATACATTTAAATCTAAGAACTGCTATTCAGAATATAATTAAGGAAATATTAGTTGATGTTTCTTTTGTAATTATGCACCAATTTCATAGGATTAGACACTATCTACAAATTTACATCGAAGCATACTTATGACTGTGATTATAATCACTGTCAGATAGCTATACTTGTCCCAACTATCCCACGTCCATACTATGCCGTGACCCCAATGTGCTACCGATTTTTTTAAATTAAATTAATTTTTATTAAATTAACTTTTTTATAATTAGGCAATATACAAAACTTGAAAACTGGTTTTGAAGGTACAACTTCATCTATGAACAACCTGGTTGTAGCTTTTTATAGTGGTCTTTGGTCTTATGATGGATGGTAAGTAGTAATGAAAATTATTATAAATAAAATTAACATGGAACCTAAAATTATTGGCTTCAGAAACGGAGCCCAACTCAAATGAATGTTACCTAAAGGCTTATTGTAGTGTATTTAGGCCACTTTGCTAGCAAATAGTAGGCCTAAAATACTACATTTTTATTCATCAAATCAAAATTGATAAAGAGTGCTCATTAATAAAGGGACCCAAAATATATTTGATTATCAAATAAAGTTATTTAAAAGCAATATTTTACTTTATTTTTATAATAAAAATTTTATTATATAAATAATTAAAATTTTAATATTCTTAAATTAATAATATTTTTTTAGTTAAAAAAATATTATTAATTTAAAAATAAAAAAAAAATTTAACTCAAAAAGCAACAAAAAAAAAAAAAAATTACAAAAACATCGCGAATACGTATTTCAAGAATAAAGTTACCATTATCTAAACACATACTGACACCCCGACTGGAAAAAACTTCTTATATATCCCTAATGACATAATCAATAAGTAATATTATCACATTTTACCACTTTACATAAATTTAATAATGAATTTTTCATTGGCCAAGATCCCAATTAATTGAATTCTTCTTATTTTTAAACATTTCTATTGTTTCCCTTATATTAAGTTCTTTGTAATTATTTACGTTTTTTATTAGTTTTATGGGTTTAATGGAGTGATTATGTGTCAATAAATGTTTAGTCACCGGAGATTTATCAACTTCTTGATATGTAATGTTTTAAAGTGTTCGTCAAATCTGACTTCTTTATTTCTTTTTGGTTGTCTTACGTAATATTTAAAAATAAAATATTCCTTAAAAAATAAATTAATAATGAACAATGTATTTATAACAAAGAAATAATGACGTATCTAATACAGAAGTGATTTGAGTTTTGCTGTTACAGCAACTTTCCTAATACTCTGACAGTTATGTGCTGTGTGTAGCACTGTCCCACTATAAGGAAGTACAACATAGTGGGATTATTTTCACTTAACCTTTTTCAGTAAAACAAATTAAAAAAAAAATAAAACAAAAATTGTATTAATATGAAACATTTTATAAGACACTATTCAAGTCATGAGAAAAGGTTGAGGGATTACACGCCACCCATCAGAAAAAAATTAATATAAAATTGTCTTTTTTTTGTTTTTAATTTCAATTTTATACCTTAATTACTTTTAAAATAATGTACAACTAGGGATTTTTTTATTTTAAAATACCTTACAAAGGAATACCAAAGTAATGAAGCCTTTTAAAATTTTACATTGAATTTAAACATTAAACTTATTTTAAATATTTTGCTTCTTTTAAGTTGAGAGAAACAACTTTGAAATTTTTATATAGTTTAAATTATTCCTTTTATCTACCGAAAAATGCAATGTACCACTTTTACCGTGTCGGTAACATTAAAATGTTGCAATTAAATTTTTTTAATTAAAATCAAAGCAATCATTTTTATGTAACTCTTAGTGTTTAAATAGATACACAATTGAAATATTTAAACTTAATTAAACTATTAAATATAAAATAATTGTTTATATTGATATACATCACATAATTTATTCTACTTGTTACGTATTTTTTTATGAAAATATATTCTATGATTATGCCTATGTAACATAATAATAAACATAATATAATATAAATATTTGTTATATGAATTAAAAGAATTTTGATATTTCGCCCGTAGGCGAAACTATACCTTTTTGTTAGATTAGATAACTCAAAAAGTCAAAAAATTATTGTTATAATTAATATAAAAAATATTTATTTCATAATAAACTTTATTTAAAAGTTAATTAAATAATCCCAAATGTAATATTAACATATTAATTCCACTTTTAAAAGAAATAGCTTGAAGATTTAGTAGATTTTTTATGAAAATTAAGAAACATTATATATATATATAATTTTTTTTTTTAGGACTGCTTCAATTACCGTGTTTGAAGAAATAAAAAACCCTCAAAGGTATAATTAGTAAAATAATTTAATTTTATAAATATTATTAATTCATAAATTAATGTGTTCTTTTTAACCATATTTGCAGAAATATATTTTTAAGTATACTACTAGCTGTTCCTTTTGTTACCCTTATATACGTATTAATGAATGTGTCGTATCTTACTGTTTTAACAATCTCTGAAATGATGTCTGTTCAAGCAGTTGCAGTTGTGAGTAATAGATATTATGCATTAAAATGTACTTATGTATTGTAATATATATACATTGTATATATATAACACTAAAAAAATGTAATTTATAATTAAAAAGAAATGAAAATTATTGAATTTTATTATTACATATTAAATTTATTAGTAAGGAAAGCCTGGGCAAAACAGATAGGTTAAATATATGTTAGAAGTAAAAATGAGTAAGTACGGTTACCAAACATCTGAATAATAATAATATTACTTTTTATTTTATAAGTAAGTTAAATATGTATGTTACTACTATTGTTTTTTTTAAATTAAATTAAGAATAAAAAAATGTTGACAGTTATTGTATTATTACTTTTTATGATATTAGCATTTGAAGATTTAGAAAATGTGAACAGAGTAGTGGTTATTAACGTTCTATTTTTACCATAGCACACAGTTAAGCATTCTTGATTGCGTAACTCTCTCACCTATAACTAAAAATTATATCAACTCAAAAAGTGATAATACAATACTGGTCATTGATCAGTTAAAATTTTATTTTGACAATTTAATAGTAAAAAAAATAATTTTACGTTTATTTTTTAAAAATAAAGAATAATTTTGTCTTAAAATAAACTTGACATTTACAATGGTTTATAAAAATAAATTTAATTTTAATCTATACATTTTTATAAAAAAATCATTATTTAACGAAAAATGGGTGTAGCATGCTTAATAAATCACCATGTATACAATAAAACAAGCTATATTATACAATGAATGGCAATAAAACAAATAAGTAATAATAAAATCGCAGTACAAAATAATATAGATCTTTGGATGTACACACCGTGTTTATAGTGTGTATTATTAATGTATTAGATATATATATTTTTTTTACAAGTATTATTTATTTGAGTTTACTTTATGGTCTTAATCAAAATTATTCACTAACGTTAACATCTAAAATTATATAAATATATAATTAAAATATTATACACAATGATAGGGAAAAATTTCCAATGAAGAGTCTCCAAACTTATATACTAGTAAAATTTACATTAATCAATATATATTTACAATAAGTCATATGGTTTAGCCCGTTTCAATCTTCTGACATCTTGAGAATTATCAAATAGTTGAGCTGCCCCTGTATTGACGTGGGTCTTCATGGCCTGACATGGTTGGTATCATCATATCCTTGTAAATATGGTTATTATTTTCGTATTTGTACGCGTTGGTAATAGTACGGATAGTAATAGTTTGCTAGTTTGAATTTTATCAATCAAAGATTTGCTAGCACAGCCACATCATTGGATACCGTAGATTCATATTGGTTTTAAAATTGTCGCTATCCATTGTTATTTCCATTTTATTGAAATATGATCTATCACATGCGCGACCCACTTAATAATTTACTTTCTTAAAATACTTACCTACTTTGAATATCCGCGGCATGCATTGTGAACAATTTATAAACAAAATTATATATCAAACACTGAACTTTTAATATGGAAGCTAGAGTAAAACAAACTTGTTGCTTATTTGAATATTAAATAGCAGCTGTATTAGATAAATAATAAATCATTTAACAAATAAAATCTTTAAGATAATCTGGTATTTTTTCTGTCGGCTTGATTTCCTTACAGTTTCCTTACAACCCAACCTCCTCTTCTCAATCATACTCTTAACTATTTCCTGTGTTACTTGCTTTTAAATACTAGCTTCTCTATCATCAGTCTCTTTTTATTTTCAGCTTCTTCCTCTTTAAAGATTCTCATCTTCTCTTGTCGTGTACTATTTCACTTTATCTACCACTACAACTCCTTCATAAATTTTTTGAATTTCAGGTATATCATGCACACGATATCTATCAATTGGCAGAATTTCAATTATAACATAAGGGGCCTTCATACTTTAAGCACAATTTACGAAACTTCTCTAAAATTTCTAATGTTTGTTGGTTGGGTTTACTTGCTTGAAATGTTTACGGATGTATCCAAGTTTTCAGTTATGAGCTAACGTTTCGGACTCGTTCTAGAGTCCATCTTCAGAGCGATAGTTACAGTCTCGTGGTTGTAACTATACTGTTGACTTACCTTTTTGTGATATGTTTTTATATCAGTTAATAACTAATAACATCGATATTGTTTAACTGTTGTTGACCACTGTCAGTTTATTGTTTACATCCGGTTTTTGTTTTTGTTGTTGTTTACAGCATTCTTGACATTTAGCTCTTCCTTTTCTACACCTGTAATTTCTGTTATGTTAATCGTAGTTTTTTCACACATTAAGTTATTTTCTTTGCTGAAGTATAGTTTCCAATTTATCGAAGTTACCTTTTGTTCCTAAATATGTCTTCTTAAAATTTAACCATTGTGCTAAATTCATTACTGAGTAACCAACCCGCTTAAATTACATAATTTTTAATGAATTTCAGTCTAAATACATCTGGCTAATTATTTATTAAGTCTACACTTTAAATATATTCAATCCATTCCTTGACTTCGACTAAATCATTTGTTCTTAAATATATCCTGGATTTTTATTTTTAACTTAGTAACTGTTATAACGTATTTTCTAAAGTTTATACACCTCCAGGATTCTCGCTTGGAACTTCTTGTGGTTGTGTACAATCTAATTGTTAAACGATAATTGTTGCTAGAGTTCCGTTCTGAAGTATTACAAAATCCATTTACAGCTTAAAATAGGATCTTACTTTTAGTGTTATTTACTGCAGTATATAAGTAAAATTCCAGTTTTTACAAGTAGTTGTCTTGTGTTCATTCTTTTCGATATGGTTGTAGTTACAGCTATCAGCAAGTGGAATTTAAACATTCCACTCACTTTTACAGCATTCACACTTAAATGACAAACTACAATAAGATGGTAGACAATTTCATGCTCTTTAAAAAACTTCGTCGAGGTAAATGCAGTCCCTTGTTACATGACCTGCCTTTGATTTTAATCACGGTTTTGTAAAAACTCACATGCTCAGTTATATAATGAAATCGCACTTTAACTTAAAAAAAGAAATGTTGAAAAATTTATATTTGTAACGTATTAAATAAATTCTAACAAAAACTTATTAAATATTAAATAGTTTAAATAATTCATGATTTTTTAATATGAAAATACTTTTACTACAAAAAAACACAAATTATTTATAAATTTTTTATTGAAGCATGAAGTAGGTCTTCAAACGGTCTCCCTGTGCACCGTGTTGAGTTGGTCAATAGCCTATATTCTATAATTTTCAATCAAAAAAATTGGTCTTATCCCCCTCTCTTCCCTTTAAAGTAGTATCAACTCAAGTTTTTCAATTGGAAGCATATGCTTATGTATCCTTAGCTTAAAAATTAGAAAATTAGGGAGATAAAAAAAAACTGTAATAACTACAGAGGAATGTCACTATTAAATGTAGCGTATAAATTATTCACTAATTGCATTCTATCGAGGGTATAATAAACAGCTTAGTGTAGTTGTAGATTATCTAGATGATTTTAGGCTAGGAAGATTGACAACTGACCAAATGTTCATCGTTTGACAAATTTTACAAAAAACATAAGAATTCAAAAAGAAAATTCGTGTACTTTTCATTGATTTCTAAAAAGCTTATGATAGCTTTCACCTAGAAGATCTAATTAATATATTGGTAGATTACTATTTCCCACATAAACTAATAAATCTAATCAAAGCAATTATCTTGGAAATGTATGTAAAAATGAGAAAAGATCTATAAAATCAGAACAAATAAAAGTAAAGATAAGATTAAGGCAAAGAGACTCTTTATCATCTATATTAATTAATGTTGGAAAAAATGATAAGAGAAATGAATATAAGACAACATAAAGGAGTAAACATACAGGAACAAACTATAGAATTCAGGTAAACAGACGAGAAAAAACTTCTCAGTTTTGAAAGGAAAATCCTGAAAAAAATGTTTTAACCTTTCAAGAACAGTGTGACCAATGATTGGGGAATTAGAAAAAACGAGGAATTAGCGTCACTATACCAAAAACTGAACATTGTTGAAGAAATCAGACATAAGGGACTACAATAAGAAGAGCATGCTTAGAGAAACCAAAACCTATTACTCTGAACAGTGCTAAAGAAGAACCCAACAAGAAAAAAACCAATTGGTATACCGATAATTAAGTGAGAAGAGATAGGAATAGGAACAGACTAGAAGGCACGAATATCTGACCAGGATGGATGAAAAGCTGGATGGTCCTAGTCGCTCACATTTAGAACTCTCGCTAACATCCCAAAAAAGAAAATCTAACTAAGAAAGTGGCTGATCGATAATAACTTTTGCACGATTGTTTTAAAAAATATTATCACTTGTAATAACTGTATTTATAAATGTTGATGCATGTTATTTTTTCGTACACGTATTATTACATAACTTTTTGAAAACTTTCAACATTTATAAATTTATTTGTTTCAAAAAAAATTCTACATTGTTTTTTTTTTTTACTATTTGTAATATATTTTTAATTATAACGCTCTATTCATAATAAAAGCATATTGAACATTAAACATCGATTTGAAAAATGTTGTGAATTACATAGTTTTTTAATAAATGATTCATTTAATATGAAATCTAATTTCTTCATTATTTTCAATGTCATAATATGCATGGAATTCCAATATTTACCTATACATACGTATTAGAGGCTTAAATACTGAAATACTAAAATAAAAATATATATTCAAATAAAAAAATATACGATTTCCGAAATTTTGAGTTTTTCATATAAATTTTTAGTATAATTAAACGTAAATTAAGTAGATATCCTCATATTCCTCGTATTTATTTTTTAAATAAAAATTTGTTTGAGTCATACTTAAACCAAAAAATTCTGTTATGAAATTAATAGCTAATTTTAACATTTTTATATTATACTAATTTATTATTTTATAATTTTTTTCATTTTATAAATCAGGAATTTGGAGCAAGAGCACTTGGAAATTTCAGTTTAATAATCCCACTAGGTGTCGCTGTTGCTACATTTGGTTGTGCTCTTAGTATACAATTTGGTATTACTAGGTATAAAATAAATTTCATTTATCTTTTTTTCCTATATATATATTTTTTTTTAGGTTATGCTTTGTTGCCAGTAGAGAAGGACAAATGCTTGAAGTTTTTTCTTATGTCAGCGTTAAAAAATTAACACCAGCTCCAGCTGTTGTTTTACAGGTTTAAAATTCTTGTTTACTTACATTATAAATCTTAATGTCGTCTTTAAAATCGATCTCTATCTTAATAATTCGCTGCCACAATTTTGGTACCAATAAGTACTCCAGCATCATTAAGTTATTAAATTATTTTAAATTATTCAAAAATCATAAAGAACTTGTTCATTTCATGGTTTGGAAATAAATAACTATAAAAAACACATCATAGTAAAATTAATACCTTCTCAGATTCGCATTGAAGGTAAAAGTAGCATCCATGATATTTGAACTCTAATTACACCATTAAAAATTAGAATTTATTTTATTAAAACGTTCACTATAAATTTAACTTGTATTTTTTTTTTAGGGAATACTTACTCTAATTTGTTTATTAGCTGGAGATATAATAACTCTTATAGAGTTTGCTAGCTTTTTAGGGTGGATGTTCTATGGAATTTCTATGGTAGCTTTGTTGGTGATGCGATTTACAAAAAGTGACATTAAACGACAATTCAAAGTAAGCAAACATTGTAGTTGTAACGGCATTATCATAAAATTTAAAGTAAAGTATGATGACCTCTAAGAGGAGCTCAAATTTCCCCCATTGTTCTTGTATGTAATTAAAAAATTTATGAAAACTATATATAGTTAATACGATGAAAATATTCATCTTATTTAAATTTTCCGAATCCTTATGAAACTTAATTTTTCCTCGAAAACAAATTCTCTATTAACTATTTGTCAGTTTTGTTTTCAACTATTTCCGATTCACATTTAAACTTTTTCAAAAGAAAATTTTTTCAATATTTAAGTTATCTATATGATCAAATGAAGTTCTATGTCAAAAGGGTAATGGTATCTAAACTTTTGTTAATTATTATACTTAAGAAGAAAGTACATAAATAAAATCGTATTGTGTTTATAATTCTTAAGTTAAATTATGTCTAATTTTGATTAACACTTTTATTATGACTTCATTTTATTTTTTATACAGGTACCGATCATTATTCCAGTTTTCGTGCTCATTGTGTCTGTGGTTTTGTTTCTAACTCCAATTGTATATAACCCACGGCCACAATATTTAATAGCTCTTGTATTTATTTTATCAGCATTTTTAATTTACATTCCATTTGTATACCAAAAACGAAGATTAACAGTAGTCGGTATGTTTATTGCTTGCATATTTCTAGTTTTTTATGTATGTTTATGTTTTTTCCCGGCTTTACAATCCATTAAGGATATTTACCGCTTAACTATCTCCTTTTATTTCTGTCTATCATTAGTTATATTTCTCCAATCTTTCTAGTCTTTAAGGCCACCACACTCTAAAATTCATTTATGCTGTCTATTCATTTTCGTGGCCTTTCCTTTGATCTTCCTGTTAAGTCCAAGTAATTATTTCTTTTATTAGAAATAATATGTCCATATGCTCGCCACATATATTTGGCTCGTTAATTTTTATATCTTACATAAACATTATCATAATTTTACTTAGGATATATAATATCTTTTAATTTATACGTTTTCCAACTGTATATTCATTGCTATATCCTATTTATGTGTATCGGTATTAAATACTAGATATTATTCTTGAAATTTTCCTTTCAAATCTTTTTTTTCCTTTTTGTTCCTTGAAATTGTAGACCAGACAATACATGCATAGTTTAGTTCTAGTCTTACCCAATCCAACCAAACTCTATGTAGCTCACATAGAATTTTTCATTAACAATTTTTGAAGACGTTTTCAATTTAAACAGGTTCTTAATACCCTAAATTGGGGTTACTTTGATAATTTTGAACTCATAATTTGTTAATAAAGTATATGAATTGCCATTTTTAATACTTTGTCATTTGGTGCAACTGGTCAAGTTCTCAAAATTGTTCGTTGATAACATTTCACAATAATTTTTCTAATTTTTTCTCTGTTAATTATATTAATATCACATTCACATTATTTTTTTAACAAAAATTAAGTCTTGTGCAAAGCAAGTAAAAATCATATACAAATATTTTAGTCGTGCAAGTAACTTGAGAGGATCACTGCTAATTAAATTAGCAGTATATCTCATAAATATAGAAAAAAATTAAAGTAGGACATATAAGAACTATGATGAAACTCTACTAATGAAGTATTATTTAAAATTGAAAAGGTGATCCAGTTTGGGTGCCTAATTCTGATAAAGAAGATGAAATGAATAATCAACAATTCATTATTAATAACTCTGAATCAGATCATGAATTTATTCCTGAATATCAACATCTAAGTGAACAAAATACTAAAATTAGTAGATTTATTTTAGTGAATATAAAATTTGGAGAGCGAGGAGTGAATAAATATTTGTATCTTGCAGATGTAAAATGAATATACTTTTAAATCATTAGTTTTGTGTAAAAGAAATGTGGTATAAAAGTAACCCCATTTTAGTTACATTGAAGAAATAATTTTAAAAAATGATTATCAAAAAAAGTTTTATTTTGCCAACATTGATAATTTGACTGTTATGTGTTATAATGAGTAAAATAAGGGGGTATCAAAGTAACCCCACTATACAGTTTAATATTGATAAGTACATTTAGCATAAGACAATTACTTGTTAAAATTTAAACTTTTATTTAATATTTAAGAAAATTATATTATTGAGATAAATAGAGAAATATGATAAACATTTATTTACCTAAACATTAGTTATAAATAAAAATATCTAAGAAAAAATGATCAAAGTAACCCCAATTTACAATTGCAAAATAACATCGATTTGCTGCATTTACTTTCATATTTATTTCCTAATGCATAATATTTTTGTTATTTAGAGTTACTCAAAAGTACTTAAATTATTTCCATAATCGAGTTCATAATTTTCTACTTAAAAATTGGAATTATCATTTGCTCCTCTTATTACTATCATGTATTACGTCTTCTCTATATTTACTACTAGTGTCTAATAGTAAAAATATGAGTATAGTAATTAGATCCATATTTTTACTTGTCTTTATTCATTTTTTCAGCTTTATATGATATTCCCCTGAAGTGTTCCCAGTGATTATAACGTCTTCTGCGTATATAAATAGTAATCCTGACTACACAACGCAATTTTACTTATAACTCACAAACAACATTTGATGATTGCTAGCCTATTCATAGCGTATTCTCATTGCTTAATATTGGACAAATAAACATATTATTCCATCTCTCCGGAAACTTCTTTTTTTTCCATATTTGTAAAATTACCGAATGCAACATATTTTTTCGACAAATTCTCATATTTTGAGTTAAATGTGTCTTCACTAAAAGACATTATTTTTGTGTATGGTATTCTCTCTTTTGTTTCATTTATGCAATAGAATTCTGAATTTATTCTGATTTTTTGGTAATTATTGTCCTCTCTTAATACTTCATTCAGCAATTATTTTTAATGAAGGATCTATTTTCGTCATTAGGAATAATACAAGTGAAATAAAACCAGTTTTAATCGCCTAGCACCCTTTGCAGAATTTTCTTAGATTGTATTTATATTATTCGATTTCTTTAATCTTTATTTTTGTTACTTTTTTATTTCCTCATTCCTAATTATTTTTGTTACTTCTTTCCTTTTGTTCTCCAATTCGCTGATGTGTTCATACATGGATGTCTGCATTGCTTTAATCCTATCTTTGTTTTGTTCTTAAATCCCCTTTCTGCAGCGTTTTATGAACCGTTTATTTCATTTTGATCTTTGTATGAACTATGCTACGTTCTCTGTAGTTTCTAATGTGGAATTTTTAACCATATACTATTTATCCTCCAATTGTTCAATACTAGTGGTATTTTTAGCTACGATACGAAGCTGAGAAGATATTGATTTTACTAGGATACGTTTATTTTTTGTGTCTGTTACCATTTTTTCTCAACTTTCACCGAATCGATTTCTTTCAACGATATGTCAAAAGATCACAAATTTTATCTAATCGAAGACATTACCCTCAAAAATTGAAAAAAAATTCCTCGTTTCCCGTAAATCTCCAAAAAAATTACAAATTTAAAAATCTCTAATGTTCAAAATTTTTTTTACTTAAAACTACAATAATTTTTTTTATAGATACCATAGGTATTTACCTATCATTTTGTATATTTTTTTTTTTATAAATTTGACCCTTTACCTGCCCACAAGGGGGGATTCAAAATGACAACTTTTTATCAAAACTTTTTAACTTTTTTATCAAAAAATTAACTTTTTCAACTTAAGTTTTAAAAGTGTTCCGTAAACTCTGTCACTTATATATATATATATATATATATATAAATAATCTTAAATTAAAGCTAATATAATATTCTTTATTATGGAAAAAAAAAATTTTCGGACTTTGTTTTGTTTTCACGGTAAAAATAGTTATCGTATGCTATTTTTGTGCGAAAATTCTCGATTTTATATTTTACATTTTTAACTTTATAATGCTATACCTTATTGATAAATATATGTATCAATACAATTTTTGTATGAGAAATACTATTTATAAACCTCTTTTATTCGACATATTTTATCTTAATCAGGATATAGGAGATCATGTAGCTTTTGAAATAATCCATCAATTTTTTTTAATTTAACACTATCTACAGATTTGCATCGAAGCGCTTTTGTATGATAGTGATTTTTATGAGATGAAGGGATGTGATTAAAATATGATATAAGGACACCTCATATGCATAAATAATGTGGGAGATTGTGTCATGTGGAAGTTTATGATTAAGATGGCTGACTCCAAATAGTTGGGATTATGGTGAGAAAAAAGAAAGAAAGATTCATTTTTGGTTTTTACGTTGTATAATAGAACGGAGAAATTGTTTACTATACAATTAAAAACAATAAAATATATTATGTAGTTATAATGTTATATGTGATCAAATATTATCATTAGGGTTCGGGACTTTATGCTCCTCTAAAGATTATTTTAATTATTCCGAATTTATCAATGACAAATAAATTTTCGTGTTTGTGTTTCTTAATCCTAATAAATATATATCAATAAAGAATTTAGTTATAAGAGGTATTAAAAAAATAAAATGAGGTACGCTTAGATGAAAAAATGCTCTTGTGGTAGCTATGATAAATTTTCACGGAGTTGAGTGTTTCGAAGCGATCCAAATAAATTTTATGTATAATTTTATAAATTCATTATGTCTTGAAGCCTAATTATTTATAAACCTCTTTCATTCGACTTCTTTTTTTTTAAATAAAACCATTTCCCTTTATTAATTTTTATATTATATATATATAATATATATATAGTGAATATATATATATATATTCACTTATAAATCATAAAACTTGTAATTAAGATATAAATAAGGAAATAAGAGATCATGTAGCTTTTTTATGAGTCCACCAATTTTTTAAAATTAAACACTGTATACGGATTTTCATTGAATCGTTTTTATGATAGTGATTTTAATCACTGTCAGATATCATTATACTTGACCCAACTATGCCACATCCTCATTGTGCCACGACCCCACTGTGCTGGGTTTTTTATTTATTATACTATTTAGAAAAAGCACGTATTAAGAATCGGCGATCTACCTTTAGATCCTCCCCCTATAACTCAATTTTTTACACACCCTTTTTTTTTTGCTGTTTATAAAATAACTCCTATGCCCACAAAATATTTCAAAATAACTTATTATTACATCCCTAAAATTAGCATGAAAATAATTCTTAATCAATAATAATATTTTTCAAATATATTATAAGTTTTTTTTTTTAGATTCATTTACTAAGTACACACAATTATTAATGGATGTTGTTCCTCCTGAATGTGAAGAATCAGAAGTAACAGAAAAATGTCTTAATAATAAAGAAAGTGAAAAGGTTTAATGACTACACAACTATATCCAAATAGCTGAATAAATATGATAGCAGTTCAATGATTTCAATAAATTTTAAATGTCGTGTGAATGAATAAGAGGAGAATATTTCTGATATACTTTAAATTATTTTGTATATTTAAATTTAATATATTTTACATTTTTAGTGCCTTCTGTTAATATCATATTTGAGTCTGTGATAATAATTTAACATAATTTATTATTAATTTGTTATGATGTATATTTCACTGAAACATTATGTAAACAATACTATATATAAATTATTAAGTATTTTTATTTAATATGATCATATATGCTTATTATATATTCATATATACATAATCGTCTAGGATACACCAGTGCCTTTACTTATGAATTTACATATATTTATATCAAATACTTATTAGATTTTCTAATTTCAGGGTCCTGCATCAATTTAAAATATTAAAATTTTATAACAGATATGTGTTAAAAACCAAAATAATAGTACATGGTAACTCAGTGGTATATTTAGGAATATGCTATGCGGGGGTTTCTATATAATTTTTAGAATATTGAGAGGTAGAGAGCTTTGTCCTAGTACACTCTCTTCTACTCTGATTCAGGAGGGTCCTTATTGCTAACTAAATTTATAAATAATTATGTTTTCTTTGAAAAAGTTGTCATAAAATTCAATCTAAATTTATTATTTTATATAAAAATGAATAGTTAAAGTGATGTAGACTCTATCCATCTGTATTCGTTTTTTCAATGTTTTCATTAAATGACTAATAATTCAAATATAACTTCAATACAAATTTTGTTCGAAGTATATTTCCTAGAAAAATGCTACTTAATTAAAATATCATTTCACTAAATGTTTAGTTAATACAGTTATTTACACACAGTATTATTTTCTTCAACTATTTCGATTTTAACGCTACACAATAGTGATGGGAAATATCGAATAGTAACTATCAAACTGTTCGATAGTCATTCAAAAAATATTCGAATAGTTTTTAAACTAATTGATAGTTTATGCTAAAAATATACTATTCGGTTTTATAAAAACAATTCGAATAGTTATTCGATAGTTTAAAATATTCAAAAATGCCCATCACTACTACACACCAATTGTGGCTTAAACGATATTTTTCTATTTTCGACTAGTTTAATATTTTAAACTTAAGTCGTTTCTCAATAAAGTGATTAATTTTCTTTGAATGGAATAGGTTATTTAATAATAAAACGTATAAGATTAATTATTATCTTGCTATAAATTTTCTTATACTATTTCTATTTTTAAATCGAGGGACCCCTTTATCCTATTAATTTTTAGACGAATTTCCAAAATCCCTAGATTTTGGAAATAAATTTTTTCATAAAATTTTGTCTAAATTAATAAGTTCTAAATTAATTTTCCTCTATTCTTCCTTTCTTCTTTCCTACGTAGTTTATAACACGGCTTTAATCTAAACATTTTACGTTTAATAATTTAGCTATTACAAAACATTTAATTCTTTTTAAAAAAAAGCTCAAACTGATATTATTTTAGTAAAATTAAAACTACATTAAAAATATTATTAATTTAAAAAAAAACTAAAAAATATTAAACTCGAAGCCACAAAAAATTAATGAAAAGTCGCGGATACGTATTTCGGAAACAATGTTACCATTATCAACGCTAAACACATACATATCATATACACATACATAATTAAAATAATGTAGTTTTATGCCATGTCATTTTTGCTCTTCGTTCTGGATTATGCCCAGCTATAAAAATCAACAATACTGTAAAATTATATTCATCCATACACTTTTCAACAAATTATAGCATAATAAAGTTAAAAATATAAAATATGAAATCGAGAATTTTCTTACAAAAATGTCATTCGGTAGCCATTTTCACAATGAAGACAATCTAAAGTCCGATTTTTTTTTTTCATGATAAAGTATATTACATTAGCTTTAATTTAAGATATATATAAAAGTGTCAGACTTTCCGGAACACTTTCAAAAGTTAAGTTGAAAAATTTAATTTTTCGTAAAAAAGTTGTTATTTTCAATCCCCCCTGTGGGCAGATAAAGGGTCAGATTTACAAAAAAAATATATTAAATGATAGGTAATTATCTCATATATCATTAAAAAAAAATATATTGTTTTGTTAATTTTAGAAAAAGTTTTGGAAGTTTTAAGAAAAAAAAACCCAGCACAGGGGGGTCGCGGCACAGTGGTGACGTGGCATAGTTGGATCAAGTATAATGATATCTGATAGTGATTAAAATCACTATCAAAAATAAACGCTTCGATGCAAATCTTTAGATAGTGTTTAATTT